TCAGCCATGATATTGGTCAATTTCCCTTAGATTCAAGTTAATGCGATCCAACTCAGTGAGTGGTCAGTGTATTTTGGTCTTTATGACCATTCACATTCTCGTCTAGCCCTGTTTACGTGGAGACGGTTCCAGGAGTTGTACTCTTAAAAATCTAGCCTAGTGCTAGGCTTGTCTTGCGATAACTTAATCTGAAAGGCTTAGATTGGAATGGCCCACATATTAATTTCAATCTGGCTTATCCAACACCTTTGCAGGAACTTGTCTAAAGTCTCTTGAAAGCCTCTACTTGTGCTCCAGAAATATTTCATATACTGTACTGTACTGTATTTGGCGAGAGGAGGTTGGAGAGCAGTGCATCTCTGATGTTCATACATTGTCATTTGATTATGCCCATGGCAGCTCTTTTCTTCACTGGGAAAACTCTGCATTTCCTACCATATCTTTTGCTCCAATAAATTACTTTGTTGTGCATAGCTGGGACCAGGTCTTTCAGTATCTTCTATGTACAGAATAATATATTGTGTAATACTTTTCTTGTTTCCTTTCCAGAGTTAACTTTTGAGTGCTTTGAGACTGTCCTAGTAATTTAAGTACTTTACTGTGTATGCATGTAGTGTGTATTCTCTGAATTCCTTTTATTTCTGGAAATCTCTCCTGTTTTGAAAGGGGAATGATAATCAAATGTGGGTGGGGAGGGGGGAAAGCACAAGTGATATGAGTAGGAGCATTGTGGTGGAATCCCTTTATTTGAAGATTTTAATAATCCATGCTATCATTTTCCTTACTGATTTCCATTTGTTTTATGCTCGCTAAATGTTAAGTTGTCCGGTATCAATATACTTGATCCATTAGGATGATTCATGCTATGGGCTATTGCCATGTATTATTTGCCTTTTCTGTGTTAAATGTGGCTAAGTTGAGAGGTCCCTATCTGCTTCTTGGGAGAATTTTTGGCTTACCTTTTAATCATGAGGTTTTCTGCTTCCTCTTGCTTGTACTGTATTTGTCCTTCTGTATACTGGGTGCGGGACCAACATGCAGGATCCATACAACAGTAGGAAATCAATGTGCATGCTCAATAAATGATGGGTCTTTGAGGTGAGCTTCCCTAATAAGTAATGCAAGGAAAAAGATTTTGCACAAGAACGTCAGTAGCTAAACTTGCAAAGTGTTACAAGAAAATTCATGCCAGAAATTCCTGCGAGAAGTACCCTGGAAGGTTCTGTGTGCCTGAGAGATGTCAGTATGCCTTCTTTGGTCTTGACAATTTTGGCTACCTTCTGTTACAACGGAACACTCGGTTAAATGTTCATGCGACATCACAAGGTGGGGTTTGGCTTGGCAAGCAGCTGGTGTAGGAAAGTTATGCCTTGTAACAACACATACACCACTACCACTAGCCACAGGACTCATAAAATTATCATCAGATTCCACACCACTAAATCTGAAAATGAGTCATCTTCCACATGTTCACAGCCCAAAGGTTGTACATACCCACATGGCATGTCTTGTGGTGTATGAGGCCGCAGCAGGAGATGTGATGGTGCAGGTCTTGCTCTGGGAATAGACACACGTGTGATAATATCAATGTCGGTATCACTTTCATTGAGCCCTGAGCATAATCTTTATTTCTGCCAGAATCATCAATGTTATTTTCTTCTCTTGCTGGAAACAATTTATTTTGATTTTTTCATTAGTCGGCAATTGGTTGGAGCTAGCCCCATTGCAGCGCTGTTAAGCAGACAAACATGCATCAGCCAAGGTAGCTTGATAAAAGAGCTGAGGCCTTTCTGCCAATGTGACATTTGCTGGATTTTTTCAAGATATCCGCTGTTTACTATTGCCTCTGGTGAGTGTCTGGTTGCCCCCATGTGGGACTTTTTATTGCTGTCATCAGCGCCTGGTCACTCTCTCTTAAAACCCATTAATGAACCCACCACTCCAAAAATGTATTCAAACACACTAAATGCATACACACCATATGTATGTGAATCACATACATTTTCAAACAAAGGAACCACATTCTCCGTGTGATTGACAACATGCATACTTGCCTATTGTATAGTGTACTGTAAGTACCCAGTCTCCTACTTTGGCACTACATAGCTATCTATGTTCATGTAGACTAAAGCAGGCAAACCTCCTCCCACAATAAAATGATCATACCTCTACCTTCATCTAGGATGCTGTCAGGAGTTAGTTGCTCACCCACAAACATAGGTCAAATCTAAGGAATTGAAAAAGGCTTTTCCACATACCATTGAAATGCAGATACTGCAATAATGTGCAAATTGTGGGCCATCTGTATAAAAATCGTTTTTGTTTAAAATTTAGGTTTAAAAACTTAATCACAGTGCTGGATTGCCTAGTCTGTTGGTATACTTGAGTCATTGTTAAAATAATCATTGTTATTTTGTTAAAATAATATCATTGTTAAATTAATGATTCACCAATTCCCTCTCAATAAAATTAAAGTTTTATTTGTCATCTTTTATTGTGCTAGTTCAGTAGTCACAGTCTTAGCCTTTGACATCCTAATCAATGTTTTGCTCTTAACAGCAAATGGTGTTTCTATGTGACAAGTTGGATTTGATTTTAAGATCACACCAGCAGTTTATAATGAGCATCATTCCTCTGTAGATTTAACTGCTAAACCTGCCAATAACCCATCTCCTTATTTTGGTTTGTAGATTACACCCACTGTCTGTCCATCCTCAATTTTATCAACTGAATGTAGTGGTCTAATTTAGCAGAATAGTATTACATAACTACCTTGGCATCGACTACTAGTTTCTTCATTCTCTTGTTGCAATATCTTTCAATAATTATCTGGTTCGTCTCGCAGTACTGCATTTTCATAATTTTCTTGTACAGTACTGTACTGTATATATTTTGCCTAGCCGAATGACATTTCCTCATGCATATCTAAACTTTTATAGCTTTTTGCTCTAAAAGCAATTTTCACATTTTAAACTTTTCTCATCAGCCAACTGACTCTAAATGAAAGAACACATATATGAGAATGCCTCAGCAAATCTACTTTCTCTATTTATGGTATGTACAATAAACTTTCTGAATAAAATTTTGCCAGTTCCACATTTATCTCATTCCACTCGTAAACATTGAGCTTTGATTTGGTATAAACTGTGCTTAAATAATGCTGTAATAATCGACTAGTGATAATGGATCTTTTTTTTTGCTCCGTTTGTACAAAGACCAAACTAACATTACTATACCCCTACTTTGAAGTCTATAGTATCCAAATACTCCCCATATTCTCACATCCTTTGTATTAAGAGTTTCTCTTGCACTTAATATAGAACAGTATACATAAGTTTATATATTCTTAATCACAGTCATTTTCTTATTTACCCTCCTTTCATTTTACTGAATAGGAAATCTTAGTTTTGCTACACGTCCCAACTTATTAAGCTCATTAAAATTGAAAACACCTTTCTCTTTCAATTCCTTAATTCTTTGTATTTTGGCAAATACCAAATTTAGCTTTGTTCTTGCATAAAAATTACTGTATGAAATAAAAAAAAGGTCAAGTGACATGACCTTAAAAAAAATTCTTTCAAAAACAAGTGACATTTGACATTTTAATGACATTAAAAAATACAGGACAATATTTATCTTTAAAATTAGGGTTCCCCCTGTGAAACCAGCTCAAGGTAGTTAGATTTGGAAAGTAATTCATGAAAATGTTAGTGCCTGCTGAAAAGGGAAAAGAAAAATGAAAGGGGCCTGACAGCTGAGTGGACAGCACTTCGGATTCATTGTCCTGAGGTTCCGGGCTCAATCCCCGGTGAAGGTGGAAACAAACGGGCATAGTTTCTTTCACCCTGATGCCCCCTGTTCACCTAGCAGTAAATAGGTACCTGGGAGTTAGACAGCTGCTACGGGCTGCTTCCTGGGGGTGTGTAACAAAAAGGAGGCCTGGTCGAGGACCAGGCCACGGGGACGCTAAGCCCCAAAATCATCTCAAGATAACCTCCTGGGATAAGGTAAACTACAGTACTGTAATAAGGTTGGAAGGGTCTTGGTTATTTTCTGTGGAAGATGACGTAATTTTTTGGAAATAAAAATTACATGTACCTGTACTTAAAACATCTTTGTGCAGTCTTAATATCATTGGTTTGATATTCCTGCATTCATCATTATCCTGTATTTTGATTAAAGAAGTAAGAAAAGCACTGGAGGAGCAGTCAATCTGAAATAGTCATAAGGTCAGTTACATTGCTCTTCTGCCTATGAGGATTAGTCATGGTGTGTGCCAGTCAATTTATTTACCCCAATTAATGGGAATTTGTTTATCTTCAGGGGTTGAATTGTCGTTTGTTAAGAACGGTTTATCTATTTGTTTTCAGTTATTGTGGAGACTGTATACATAATAAGTAGCTGGTTGCTTTTTTTTTATACTAGGAGAAATGCTGTAGATACAGTATTAAAAATCTGTAAAATGGCTCACTCTTTTGGACAGGCAACTAACAATGTCATTGTCCTCATTTCACCATAGTGTTCATTTATTTGCCACAAATAAAGTTTATACTAGTACACCACTAAGTATTTGATTTATTGTACAGTATTATATTGTTCATACAGTATTAAACTTTGTAAAATTTAATCAGTATGCCAATCATTTAAGCCAATGCTTTGGCATAATGGGTTTTAATCTTGAGATTCCTCCTAGTGACACATTTTCATTGTAAGAACTTGCCTAGAGTGCTTTGCTATAGGCTTACAATTTCCTTGTTGATGTTGGAAAGTTTATGCTCAGAAGAACTTTGCCAAGCAAGAAAACTTAGCAGATGAGAAGCATGATTATTCTGAGATTGGTAATGACAGCATTTTTTCCAGTGCTGAATAGTAAGCTGCTACCTGTATATGTTTCCCAATTGTTTATAAGTTACATCAATTGAATTTATAAATTAAAAATTAGAAATAAATGTAAAATTATATACAGTATTTTGTTTAATACTCAATGTTATTTTCTACAGGTTATGGACCTTCGGGAATTTACTGTATTGGATGAAGTTGGAGCAGAGGACCCACAAGTAAGAACCGTAGAAACCAATTTTAAGCCATCTACAGCAGCAGAGGAGATTGATTATCTGAATAAAATTCTTGCTGATATTGAAAAAAATAATGGGAGTGATATAAATAGTAACAGAAAGAATTCTGGAGGTAGTGAGAGCATTGAAGGATGCAATTTTGAAAGCAATAACAGCTCAGAATGCAAGCTTTTAAGTGATACCAGCAAAGAAGACCCTGGGTCTGGGAATTGTGGACAAAATTCTTTTGAGAATGAAGACAATGAAGGCCACAAACCTCTAAATTATCATGCTAGTGCTGAAAAACAGTTTGAGGGTTATAATGATTTTGAAAAACAAACCTCTGAGAGTGCCAACGAAAATGAACATCACTTTGAAGTGCAACAATGTATTTTGCAAGGTTTTGACTTGTCCCATGCTGATAATATTGTGACTCAAGCTCATGATCAGCACATATCTACCTCTAATACAGACAGTGGCCTTGTACAAAGTGGACTTAGCACTGAACCCAATCTTGTAAATGTTGAACTTGTCAACAAGTCATATAGTAATTCATCTCAAAATATTAATGCAAAAGACACAAACCAAGACGCTGAGCTTGAAGATTTAGTATGTAATGTTGGGCCCATCAGTTTGGCATCATTGAATGAGGCTGGGAGCTCAGAGCTAAGGCCCAATACAACTGATGCCACCACACTTGCAATTGATTCTCCTGGTCACAATTCACCATTGCTTGAGTCTCAATGTTATTCAGCAGGGGACATTTCAAATACAGGTAGTTATCTTTCAGGTGAGGATGTTTCAGGATTAACATACGAGAATGCAGAAAGTTTAGGCAACAAGTTAAAATCTAACAGTACTATACCTGGAAACCCTAGTAGTCTCCTAGAAAACTTACAAGAGCCAGCAGCTGTAATTCAGGGTATAGAGTCAAATTTGTTAGAAACACACATTGATCTCTCATTAGTGAAATCAGAACCTATTGATACTGATCCTGGAGGAGAATTTGAATGTGTAGGTTTTATTGATGATCCAGCAGAAGACTTTAGAGTGAAGGAAGAACCTAAAATTAAAGAAGAGCCCCCAGAGTATTCACCACCAGTGGTGGATCAGGCAGTTAATTTGTTTTCTGTTAAGGTTTTTAAAAGTGAGGATGAGTCTCCAGGTGAACCAAGTGTAGTTAGGAATATAAGATACCGTGTTGAAGATGATAAGTACTATAGCAGGGAGCAAGTAACTGCAGCTCTTATTATCTCACAATCTTCACTTGCACCTGCTATTGATATGGATATGTTTCATAATGTAGGTAGAACTAGTCTGATGTTGAAATTAATTAGCTTAGAAGATTTGATTCACAATCCTTGTCAGATTGGATTGGAAGATGTAGATATTGTTAAATTGTTTGTCAAGAATTATGGCAGCTCATTCTTTCAATGGAAAAAGTTCTTCAATTATAAAGCGAAAAACAGCAAAAAGTGTCCTGCATCTGGTGTTAAAAGCAGTAAAAAAGATTCCGGGAGAAAAAAGAAAACTAGAGAAAATGAAGCTCTGGCTAAAACTTCACGGTTACATGAAGACAATAGTTCTGAAAAAGAAGAAAAGTACATTGAAGCGTCTTCTAATGAAGAAAAGTGCATTGAATCTTTACCTAATGAAGAAGGGAAAAAAAAGAAAAGGAAGAAGAAAAAGCACAAGAACCATAAACAACTTGATAGAGAAATTACAGAGGATGAAGATTTGGTTAATAAAAAATCAGGTGATATGTCAAAAGCAATACACCAGGAAGAGGATAATAATTCAACTGACTCTGATAAAGTACCTGACAACCATAAATTATCAAATGAAGAGATAACAAAAACTAAACTTGTGGTTAATCAAAATATGGATGACATTCCAAAAGTAATACATCAGGATGATGATAATTCAGCTAACTCTGATCTTCCTGGGAGCCATAAATTACTGAATACAGAGATTAAAAAAACAGAATTTCTGGTTAATCAGAATTTGAATAGTATTTCAAAAGTAATAGATCAGGATGATAATTCAGTTGATGCTAACAAAGTTCCTGGGAACCATAAATTATTGAATTCAGAGCTGGTCAAAAATGAGCAATTGGGTAGTCAGAGTTCAGATGATGATATATCAACAGTAGTACATCAGGATGATAATTCTACTGACTCAGATAAAGAACCTGACTGCAATGAAAGAGAAAAACGTGAACTGAATAATGCTGAAAAAGAGCATGAGCAAAGCAATCCTAGTCAATGTGAGAGTTTGAACAATAAAGTTAACTTAGTCAAAGGCGAGTACAAATGTCACATGAACACCATGGCTCCAGAAGAAGACAGATTTAAAGTCTTGGGTGGAGTTATTTTAGATAATCGTTGCAAAGCCTGTAGTGTCAATTTGGTGGACATTGCTAAGGATAAAAAGTACAAAAATATAGTTCAGAAGTATTTAAGATTGTTGGATAAAAAAAAGGTGTTACTACCACTAGATCAGGAAAAAGTTGAAGATAAACCAGCCGACTGCAAGTCCTTGAAACTTGATACAAGTGCAGAAGCTGACGAAGGTTTAAATATTCAACCAGCCTCTAAATTTACAGAATTGAAAAAGCCTGATAAAAGAACACTTGAAAATACACATGAAAACTCAAGTGGCTCTGTTGAAAATGATGATGAATCAAAGCATGCCAGACAGGAGGAAGCAGACCATCACAAAGAGACTGCACTCTATGATGAGGATTGTTGTAACATTTCAGGTCATAAAAGTTATAAGCCAGAGAGTGCTACTGAAGAGACAAATGTTATTTCTAAAAGTGAACAGAAGGAAGACTTAAGCAAGAATGCTAATACTCTATTAGTTCCTGAGAGCTCTGAATCTGAAAAAGTTGAGGAAGTTGAAACTTCACTAGCTGCAAATGAAAAGAGTGAAAAGATAAATGGATCTAAGGATAAAGACGAATGTAAACAGTTGAAGTTGATAAATATGGAAACAAATAGAGGAAAGGACACTATAGAATTGACAAGGGAAGATAAAGACAAATTGAAACGAAGAGAAAAGAAAAAATCAAAACATGAAGAAAGAATACCTGAAGTAAAGAGCATGAGGAAGGAACTGGAAAATACTGCCAAGTTCAAAAGGGAGAAAAAGCCAAAAGTTACTGAAAAGGATCACCATCATGCCAAATGGAAGCAGGAGAAAATGAAGGAGAGAGACAAGAAATTTAAAGAACTTGAGCAGAGAAGAAAATTTGCTGTCCATCATGGATCGAAGAAAGAAGAAACTGGAGAAAATGATTCAGTCAGCAAAGAAAATGCAACTATTACTTGCAATTCTCTTCCATCTATTACCACTTTTAAGTAAGTAAAATTCAGTAGTAATATTACTTCTCTGATATAATGTACTGTACTTAATTTTGGATATAATTTCCTTGCTTGTATTAGAGGCCATTTTAAAACAAATCCTAATTTATTTTTCAGGATTCCAAAAAAGAAAGCTGTTGATACAAGAGGACCAGCTGTCGAAAAGCAAAATTTAGTTTTATCACGAAGAAAAGAAATGCTTGCATCAGGAAGCCCTAGTGGATATTACTCCAGTAAGACATTTGATCATGATAAAAATCGAAGAGTTGGTAGGGAGTGGAATTCTCAGACAAAAGTGGATAACAGAAATCTTGACCAAAATACTGTTGAGAATAAGTTGCAGTCAAAGCAACAAATAAATGAAGGATGGGCTAGAAAGGAAATGCCAAATTTCTCGGGAAGAGATATTTCTCGTGCGAATGACAGCTTTGGATATGCGCTTCAACGACAACAAGTTGCACCACAAATGGAACGAGAGAGAATTGTTCCTCACATTTCATCTCCTCCTGTTCTTGAAAAACAAAGTATGATACCTTGTAATAGTACTTTTGAGGTTGAAGGAAGAGATGTAAACACTGGTAAGAGCCTTGGGTCTGAATATCCAAGCTTGCCATTTCATCCAATAAAAATGGTGGAGACCGAGATGTCTTCAAATGCACCCCCACCCCCAATAGTTGATAATTGGAGTATGATACCGATTAAAAATACATGTGAAACTACAGATGATCATTCATATTTTAGCGGTGGTTTTAGTCCTGCAGATTCTATAGATAGCCCACGAGAGCTGCGTTGTGGAACTAAAGATTCTGAACGAGAGGAAAACAGTATCCGAGGCAATGCATTGAGCAAGAGTGAGAATTTGAGCTCGAGCATCGTGGCAACAAAGTCAAGCATAGCTGATAGTGATAATTCAGGGAAAGAATCTGATGATTATGCTAATATGGTATCGAAGTTAGTTGGTAGCCAAATGCATGATATAAAGTTAATGGAAAAGGCAAAGGATGATGTAAAGATAATGGAAAAGGTGAAGGTAAAGGATGACATCAGGACAGTGGAAGATGTGAAGGTAAAGGCTGATGTTAAGACAGTGGAAGAGGTGAAGGTAACGACTGATGTTAAGACAGTGGAAGAGGTGAAGGTAAAAGCTGATGTCAAAACAGTATGCAGTGTTGCAGAACGCTGCAGCCATTTGGATATGAAACAGAAAATGAGGGTCTATGAAAAAATGAAAAGATGCTACTATGATGCTAAGAAAAAATATCATGATGAGAAAGGGGAAAAGAAAAAAATAAGATACATTGAATATGAAAGAAGGAAGAAAGAGTATTATGATTTGAAAATATATCTCTGTGAGGAGAAAAAAAGAGAGTATGTAGAAAAGAAAAAAGCACAGAAGGAAAATATGTCCAAGCAAAGAAATGTTCACGAGAATTCCAAGCCAGAGGTGGAATCCACAAAACAAAAACTGGAGCCAGAGGTGGAATCCACAAAACAAAAACTGGAGCCAGAGGTGGAATCCACAAAACAAAAACTGGAGCCAGAGCCATCATCAGCAACAGATAAACCTCAGGATAATCTAAATGAATGCCCTGATGATAATGAGAATTCAGAGGATGGTGCTGACAATGACCCATATTCTCCTACTGGCTCACCAATATTACTTGATCCAGATTTTTCTGCAATAAATGTTAGAGCAAGCTTACTGGATGTCAATTTACCCTTTGGGAAGTCTCTCTCATATTTTGAACAGATAAAAGAGAAAATAGTAAATGCTACACCAAGTTATGAGGCAGATAAGGCAATGAACACTCCAGCTTCAAAGACAAGTGAAAGTCCTTCCAGGACTAAGGCTACTCTACCAGCAGATGGCTTGTCAGCTGTTGCTACACCAGTATTGACCTCTCCTAAACCTCCGAATAGAAAACCTGACCAGTCCCCAATTCAGGGTTCATCAGTGGCAGTACCACCTCATCTTCCATCATTGTTTTCTTCACCCTTGGCACATAATTCAGTGCCATTACCTGTTCCACCTCCACAGCCAATTTCATCAAATAATTCTGGTAATTCATTCCGAATTACATCATCTCTGCCGGTTCCATTACCAGTGAAAGCTTCATTGATATTACCAGTCCCTCCCCCTAGTTGTACAGCAGCACCATCATTTGTGTCACTTGCTGCTTCATCTGGTGGTATAGTTAAAGAGCCTGTTGCTTGTCCAGCTACAATATCTGAATTGGCAGCACAGTCAAACCAGACACTTTCCTCCAGTTTAAAAAAAACTGAGCCTTTGGAAATTCCACTGGTGTCCCCAACAATTAAGAACCAGTCACAAATGCTAGTTGACCTTGCGCCACCACCACTCCCACCTGATTCACTTTTTGCACTAATGGGATATAATCCCACTACTGTGGATAGGACTAAGGATAGGCAAGACTCTTCTTTAGATGACATCATAGAAATTCCTATGGACATTGATTCTGAAAGTGACGCTTCTGCTGTTGAGGAGAATGATGCTGAATTTCTTGCTTCCTTTGGAATTTGTGTAGCCAGCCCAACATTTAAAGAGCAAGTTACATCAAGAGATGACACTTCTAGCAAAACTGATACCAATTTCAAGAATGTTCTAACAAGATTAATGGAAACAAAGAAAAAAGAACTGGGCATTAGCACTACAAAAAATCAAGATGATCATGAACAGAAGCAGGAACCAAATGCAGGCGTCGGTAATATCTCGGGAAATAACCTTGGAAATCTCGGAACTGCTGGTAGCGATGATGTTGCAGAAACATCTGACCCATCAAACCATATCGAATTAAGTGAAGAATCAGCAGATGTAAATGGCTTTAAAGAAAAAACAACCAAAGAACCACCTAAAAAATTATTTTGTGTGGATGAACTCCTGATGTCTGTAGAAACTGCTGATCAGCAGTCAGATCTGGAAGTTGTCTTTTCAAACATTCAAAAAGACTACAGCAGCGTTAAAGTGTTTAGGGTAAGTAGCATGTGAATATTTTGTTGTATATATTGGGGCTTAAGTATAATATAACTTGTATGTGCTTGGATATACTGTGTATGCATGTATATACTGTACACATATTCACACACCCACACACTCGCTGTCTCTCACTCACTCACTCTTAACTCACTATCTTTTATTGCCTCGTACTTTTTTATAATAAGACTGGGGTTCATTAGGGCTGTCAATTGAGGTACTTAGTGAAGCTGCAAGCAAGATCTGTTGTCCTATCTCAGTTCATCTGAAGCCTGCCTCTAGAGACTCATTTATTTCAAGAGATTTTTATTTGAATCACTAGGAATAAACTTTATTTAAATCTAAGAAACAATCATTTAAGGAACAGAATGAGCCAGTAACCAACACTGTGCTAGAGCCTTCACGTGATCGTGACCTGTTGAGCGAACATGTTCCAGATGTGAGCCAGTCTTTTAAAGACTCATTTATTTGATATTATTGTTATTGTATCCATTAAAAATTAACATGCTTTAATGCTTTGTAACTTTTTTTTTTTTTTTTTTTTTTTTTTAGATATATACAAGAGTTGTTACATTCTTGTACAGCCACTAGTATGCGTAGCGTTTCGGGCAAGTCCTTAATCCTATGGTCCCTGGAATACGATCCCCTGCCGCGAAGAATCGTCTTTTATATAAGGAGCAGTATGAGTCAGGACCCAACTGTATGCTAGAGCCTTCATATGGTTGGTTGACCTGATTCGAAGAATGTTAACATGTATGAACAGATTCCATATGTGAGTTAGTCTAGGAATGAATGATCACTGATGGAGTGATGTTCGTGAGAAAAGTTTTATTGTACCTCCATAAGGCTAATGATGGTCAAGTGCCTTAAATTACAGGTGTCATCTTCTGGCTGTCCATAAAGTTGGGACAGGTAAGGAACTTTGAAAAATTTGGCCTCATATATGACAGTAAGTCCACCAACATCGTGATGGTGTTGCAGGCTCAGATGTTCCAAGCAGTCCAACCAGACTGGGTCAAGACCAGAGATGTGCCTTTTCACACAGTTCTCCACCTTGCCCAAAATTCTGATGAATGATGGGGATGCTGGTAGGCTCAGGATAGGAGTGAACTTGCATTTCATTTAAGGTTTTGCAACCTTTGATGTCAAGAGAGTTTGAGGTTCACCATAGGCTGTAAGTTTCCTTGGTGCCTTGCTTGCTTGTCAGGTTGATCATGGGGTTTTTCATTGTCATTAAAAAGGCAAACTTCATTACTAAGCACTAAGGTTTTGCCACTTATTAGTATGCCTGTCTTTATTTGCAATATCATATTGACTTGCTGTCATCACCTGTTTTCTCGGTTGCAAATCTTACCTGCCATCACCTTCCCCAGGAAAATATTTCTGATAATTTGTGATTAATGACCCTTGTAGTAGTTTGTATTTTTTCTTTTCCATATGTAGAGATTAGAGCACAATCATCAGCATAGGTCTGAACATCAGGAATGAGGTGTAACAGATTATTGAAGTAGACATTCTACAACAAAGGGCCAAATGCATTTCCCTGTGGAATGTGTTAGTACCAGTTTAGTGCCTTTTATACTCTGCCTTGTTGAGGAACTACTTAAAAGTCCATTCTTAAAGGTAGTCCTTTATTAGCTGTAGATTGGACAAATATATGTAGTGTAGATTGGAGCCTGAAATACCAAGTACTTTAAGCATTGATTGCTCTCCTTTTTTTTCTCTCGCTTTCTCTTCTCACTTCCCTTTTCTTCTTTTTTCTTTTGCAATGAGAGTACAAGATAAGAATTGAGAGGGTAGTATGTACCAAGACCATAGGAAGTTTCAAAACTTCATGTGACAAAGAGTAAAGATTATACGGATGACGAGACACCACAACTATAGCTCTCTTCCCGTAATTACACTTGTGATAATGCACACACACACACACACACACACACACACACACACACACAGTATATCCAGTGTATTTACCTTTGCTTAATGATTAATTTGAAATATTTGGTAAATGTTAATCACTGTACTGTATTTGATGAATTTATTAGTATAGTACGGTAAAAAATAATAGTGTGTAAGGTGTTTCATTTTGAATAACATTACTGGAAACACAAGGTATGCACTTTAGTGCAGCAGTAAACAGTTTTGAATCAAAATGGATGCTCCGAATGGAGGTTTATATTTTGTACATAAAGTATTTGGAAAGTCTCGGTGAGCCTTTCTGTATCCTTCTCTATATCTTTTCAGGTCAGTTCATGAAGGAATGTAAAGTAAAGAGAGGATTCTAGAAGCAGAAAGTCTCACCCAAAGACTTAGCATCCTCGAATCTTCACCTGTCGGCAGCTTGAAGCAGTATATCAGAGCCCCTGTGCTCTGTGTGGTTCACAAGAGAACTTTTGATCCTCCATTATAGGCTCTGTTTTTTCTTTGCAAATTGGAGTAATTTATAAAGTGGAACCATAAATGTTCCCTATTTAATCTTGACTGCAGTATTTTAAAAATTGGATTGTTGGATCAAATGCAGTACTGTATATTGAAAACTGCTGGTGCAGCTGAACATTTATAGCTGCTGATTTGTGTTTATGTACTCAGTATCTTCATAAAAACTAGTATATTGCTTAATGTTGTGCATGCCTTGTGTTTCCTTTTATTATCTTTATATGAAAATGTTTTAAAATTGCACACAACAATTAAGATAAAATCTGTATTTTGTTTTTCAACTTAATTTGTTTTTCATCAAAAACCCTAATTGAAAATTTCATTTCTAGGATGAAGTCCCAAAATATTATCAGAAGACACCATTGGCGCAGACTCTGGTGGATAAATGCAAAGATATACCACTTGTGGGTAAGTTTTTTTTTTTTTTACTACACGGTGTGGCATGTACAGTAGCAGATAAAAGATAAACAAATGAACGCATAGTGTAGAGATAAAAGATAGCTTCTCACATGTGTCTGTGCTTTATAAGCTTGCCTGTAACATGCTGAAGGTGCTCTGTTATTCTGCACACTGGGAGGATTTGTTGGTGATGTCATTAATAATAATCATAATAATAATAATAATATATTTAGGAAAAGTACATACATAGATGCAGAGTTACAGACATTCTGATTGATTTATAGATAGAGCTAGTACATACAGTACCTAAGGCCACTAGTACGCATAGCATTTCAGGCATTAACCTCTGGGCTTGCACCGTGCATCACCAAGGTGCTCATAAAAAATATATATAACAACAATTTTCTTTTGACATCATTAATTATCATCCAGGGAGCACAAAAATCCAAGTAAAATGTATCTACCTCTTGTGGTTTAGCTGTAGTGGCCTGGAGAATTTTTTTTCAGTAAAAATGGGGCAGGGTTCTGTACAGGAATACCTTTATAAATTTATTTTTATTGTTGCTCACTTTATTTATTTAGTTTTTCATGCTAACACAATGTATTGATGCATTAAAGATGGTGTTCATTATGTATAACTTTGAAAATGTGTATGCATAGATGTGTATAAATATATACACGTATCTGTTCCTGAACACTACAGGGAAGATAAACCTGGAAACAGAAGAGCAGAACTTAAGGAGTGCACAGGGAAAGTAACCCTAGGCATATGCAGCTCCAAGTACACTAAACTCTTGGCTCATGCTGCACAGCTGTTCACAGGAAAAGCCACAAGGGCAAAATACCACTAAACCTAAGACAGGAGGCTGGAGCCAGAGCAAACTGCGAGGGTGACTAGGCACAGTACACATCAGCATAAGAACTGGTGTTGGAGCAGCCGAGTGACCTGGTCTGCCTCCCTCCTTCTCCAAACAAGGGAGGGGAGGTGTGCGGGAACTAGCTTGTGCTAGTTTCACAAGTTTTCAATGGTTTATCTTGTTAGGGGTTTTAGTTGTTTTGAGGCTTTGGTCAAATCAAAGTATGATAATGTGTGTGTGTTTTTTTTTTTTTTTTTTTTTTCAAATAATTGCATCCTACATTTATCTCATAGCTGTGAGTGATTTTATCATGGTATATTTTTGTGATAGTTTAACCATATATAAAATGCCTAATATTCATGAATAATGTCAAATTGAACTTGAATTATTGTATTTGTAAATATTTTATGCAAGATTTCACACTGCCATTGCTACCACATTAAAAGATATGAAGAACAAAATTTATAGGTTATTTACTTTTATTTGGCTTGGTAGATTACTAAATCATTTACTATTTTATCTTGCCACTACAATCTGTCAAAAAGTATTGAAGCATAAAGTATCACATCATTGGTTAGTATTAGTTTCATACAAGTAGTGTACATCTACAGGTTCAATAACCACAACAGTACTGTACTGTACTTTCAACGATTGGGTATACAGTATATACCTTTCGAAGTTTGAAGATGTTTTCCCCGTCATGTGAGATGTTGCACACTTTCCACATTTGGATGATTGAAATCTAGGTTGAAGTTTGTCTACTGAGTTTGCATAGTTTTATCAAGTGAAACTTTTTATTTCAGGTCTTCAGTATGTGTTGGAGGTGAGACAGGATGTAGATATGACTCTAGATGGCTGTTACTACATCTGTGTGCTTTGCAGTAAGAAAATGAATACCCATACTCTCATTCCTCACATCAAGAGTGTGCACCATAAACTTCGCTTTTCAGTAAGAATTATGTTTTAGATGTTCTTTAAGATACTTCTGCAAGACGTGTAAGGCAAATCTTTAACTATGTAGCATCTGGGTACATACCGATAATATGAGGTCGTATTCTTGGACAATGCTCCTTTTTTTTTTTCTTTTTTCTTTTATTAGCATATAAAGTTGATAGTAAGTTAAGAAAAAGTGAAATGATTGTTTAACACTGTGATGTGCCACATTTATTGCGAAATTCTGGCTGTTGTATTCTGGCTTAGGTAAGGAACCTAAGAGTATTATTCTGTATAAAATGTATTTTGTAGTTAATATTTTTTAGCGTGTGGAATGGATTAATTCAATTTATATTTACTGTATTTCTTATGGGAAAATTCGTCTCGGTTTTCGTTGTTTTTGCTTTCGTACCATCTCTGGGAACGGATTAACTACGAGGATACCACTATACTTTAGTGCAGGATTAGATAAAAGAAAACAATGGGAGCATGGAAAATAAATTAGAATGAGTATGAGAAAAATGGTAGAGAGGTGAAGAGTATAAGAAAGGAAGGAATATTAGTACAGTATTTAAATTAAGATTGGACTGCGAGATGGTATACTATCCCCAACCCTAACATTCAAGTGAAGCTTAGTATGGGCAAGGGCTATGAAAGAGCAGAGTGCTCATGAGTAGCATGCATTATTTTTTTTTTAAGCAGGTGGTGTCAGTATGTGGGATTGGTATAGCCATGAGACATATACGAGATGTAGAGTGAGTGAAAGGGGTGAGGAAATTAAATATGGAGTAGGTGAAGCTAATAAAGTACACTTCAGCAGCCGGGAGACCCAAAAATATTTGAATTTAATGAAGATTACTTAAAAATGTTATACAAATCTCCAATTATTTGGCAACAGTGTCGTGAAAATTTCATCCCAATATGTTAAGATATGAATTTTATATGAATATTTAAAAAAAAAAAGTTCTGATTATAAGGAGAACAGCTCCTATTAACTGGAACTGAGGGATAATGCAGTGATAAAAAGAGATGCAAGCACCTATCCGACGTACATAGAAGAATAGTAGTAAGGAGGGTCAACAAAGTGGATATGCAGCTGGTGCCTTTCGAGCATTATTGTGCTTGGCTTCAGTGGCTAGAGGATAAGCTTTGGGTTGATCAGGTTTCCCTCATTCCCTGTTCCTGGGCTCGGGTCTTACAGGTCGTCCGCAGGGTTACCAGCCTGTGGTCTTACCAGCCTGTGGTCTTTCCAGCCTGTGGTCTTACCAGCCTGTGGTCTTACTAGCCTGTGGTCTATCCTCGTGCACATGACATTAGGAAGTTTACTGCATTGGCTGTTGTGTTTGGCACCATGTCTTGGGCTGATATTCGTGTGCGGGGGATTTGAAGGTTGAACAGGGGTCCTGGCCGTCTGTTATTTGGTTAATATTCCTGCTCCTAGGCATTCCTGTGTTGCTTTGGGTCACATGTTGCAGCCAGTTGTCTCAACTTTGCATTGAGGAGTTTCCCAGGTAAGTTCCTCTTTTTCCTATTCTTTGGTTATGTAGCTCCAGGGAGCCAAAGGGGCTTCCCACAGAAAACCAGCATTGAATGTAATGAAAGGCCATTTTCTGGGTGAGCCCCGGAGGCTCCCTGGCAACCCCTCCGTCCCTTCAGTCACCGGTTTTTCACGTTATTTGATGCTTAGTTTCCGAACTGGAGTGTTGGGTAGCCAGCACGGGGAGGAAAGGGCTACGTGGGCGAGCGTCGCAACAGTAGAGTGTGATGTTTGCTTGTTTCCTTGGGATTGGAGGGAGTTCTACCTCTCGTCGTTTTTTAGTTATAATTTTTTTACCATGTGGGGTTTGTTTTGTTATGCCTAATTTTCTTACCATGTAAGGTTTGTTTTGTTATGCCTACCTTTCTGGGTACCTAACCCTAGTCGATGGCAGATAAGGAAAACCCCGCAACTACAGGGAAATTTTAGAGGGCCATTGCTCCCTGCAACCTCTCTGAGGGGGCCAGGTTCTGGCTCGTGGTCCCCGATAGGTCGAACTCCTTAGCCTAATGATCCCGTGTAATATATCACACATTAGCCCGAGAGCTTCAGAGAGCCTCCGGAGCTCACCCAAAAAATGACGTTTCATTACATTCAATGCTGATTTTTTTTTTTTTTGTAATGTCTTGGGCTGACATTCGGGTGCGATGATTTTGGATGTCAAACAAGGTCCTGGCCACCCGTTACCTCGTTGATGTTCCTGGCCCTAGTCAAGCATGAGGTGTGAGTGGTGGCCTCCTCCCGGGTAAGTTTTTTTGTTAATTAGCTTCGAGGAGCCAAAAGGGCTCTCCACAGCAAACCAGTGTTGAATGTAGTAAAACGCCATTTTCTGGGTGAATCCCGGAGGCTCCTCAGCGATCCTCCGGTTGGCGGTTTTCTAGTTTTGATATTCAGCCTCTGTTGGATGGCTGGTGCAAAGGGGTTTCCCCTTTTCCCTCCCAGGGAGGGGAGGAGCTGCACAGACAGCGGCACGGCGGCGGTTGTGACATCATGCTTGTTTGCTTGTTTTCAGATTGTGGAGTTCTGCTTGATCGGTTTTTGGTAGCAATTTTAACCAGGTGGAGTTTGTTTTGAGATGCCTACTTTTCTGGGTGCCTAATCCAGTACAGGTTAGTCCAATGTAGCATCTTTGGATTGCAGTCTAGTCTTAATTTAAATACTGTACAAACATTCCTTCCTTTCATAGAATGCTTCCAACCACACAGACGTTTCCATAGGTCATTGCTCCTCGTGTCTCTCTGAGGGGGCCAGGTTCTGGCTTGTGGTCCCCTGTAGGCTAGAACTCTTATTGAATTGACTGATGCCACAATCTAATACATACATATCGGCCTGGTATAACTCCGGGGAGCCTCCGGGACTCGCCCGGAAAATGGCATTTCATTTCATTCAACTCTGGGTTTTTGTTTACACACAATTGTACATTATGACTGCTCTGTCATATAGTAAATTTTAAAATATGAGTGGTAAACCCCCTTACCTACTTGACTCATGGATGGGAATGACCTAGGATTGAACCCTGGGTAGGGTGGGTCAGTTGGACACTGTTGCTCCACTGTTCCTACCTCTGCAACCAGCAGCGATTGGGACATACTGCCATTGAATTACAAAAGTATTAAATGTGTCTTGAGTCCTGACTTGTCTTCCTTATATGTTTATCAGTCAATTAATTTGTAGTTTATGATAGTATTCAAAATGTATTAGGCCTGGAATGATTTTAATTATCCTACATTTAATATTTTTAGTGACAAATATATTTTAGAATGATTAAGAGTTTATATATATATATATATATTATTATAGAATTTTGTATAATATATGTCCTCGTAGATTTTGATATAACACATTAATATTTTATATTTCAAAGTGAATTTATCTATTTCAGGAAATCCACTGTGTAGACATATATGCTAAGTATGGTTCATATGTTATTAAGGAGTGGACAGCTGCCCGGGTTAAGGAATTCACCGTTGCATTGGCTGAGGTATGTATAAAAATATATAAACATGTTCAATATTCCTAATGTGTAATACCCTGACTCAGGAGACCATTAACCCCTGGGCTGTGCCACTGTTTATACCATGCTACATCACAGTGAACATGATATAAAAAATACCCTAATTTCGTTAAAGTCTGTTTCTTGATCACGTGTAAAATAATAATAATAAACAAACACATGCGACTTACTTGGCCGTTGTGAAGCCTGAAAGTCTCGCAGTGACGGCACAATTCATGTGCGCTCATTGAGTAAGCGCCTCGTGGTGGTTGTCATGAGCCATTCGTCAGGCAGGAGTTGCCTTGAATATATTTTTTACGTTTTTATTTCAATGTTTGTGATTAGTTTTTTCTCTGTATTTTGCAGTACATTGTTATTTAATAATGTTTCTTTTGAGAAATTAATATAATAAAATGTGTGGAACATTGGTGTGCTCAAAAATAATCATGTCACTAAGATGGCTGGATTGTACCTGGATAGGGTTCTGGAAGTTCTTATGCCCAAGCCCGGCCTGGGGCCAGGCTTCACTTGTAAGAGCCAGGTCCAACAGGCTGTTGCTTGGAGCGGCCCGCAGGCCCACATATCCACCACAGTCCGATTGGTCCAGCACTTCTTGAAGAAAACTATCTAGTTTTCTCTCGAAGATGTCTATATTACAGTATTTGCTTAGAACAATACAACATTTTATTTTTGATGTTATTATACTGTATACACACTTTATATATAACTATGTACATTTTCATTCATGATTATGAACCACTGAGCCTTTCTGGTAAGTGGTAATCTCATAACATGTGGTCAAGAGTTCAGACTAGCTCTGCATGCTTTGCATGAAACTGAAACTGTAAGCATTGAATATATAATATTTTCTCTGTATTTCTAACATTATAGCATGGTTTTATTCAGTGCAATGATACAATGGTCTATCAATAATGTTCTCTGTATCACAGAACATGTAGATCATAAGTACGTACAGATGTATTCGTGTCGCTTAGATAAGTACTATATTATTTGCTAAGGAACAATAAAACATTCTATTTTTGGTGTTATTACACAGTATACACACTTTATATATAACTATGTACTTTTACATGCACTATTATGAACCACTAAGCAGTTCTGGTGGGTGTGGTAATGGAATTCAAGGATATCATAGTACCCCCCACACACACTACTGGCAGACTGTGCCAGCAGACGACGTAAAATGCATCACAGTATGCTATGCGCCTCTTCAATTCTACCCACAATGTTTCTATTATTATCAGCATCCTGATAACAATAATGTGTAATTTGATAAATTTATATAATAAAATGTGTAATCAGGCTGTGATAAATGAAGAGAAGATAATATGATTTGAAATGAATGGAAGGGGATGGAACAAGACCAGTGGAACAGAGTAGGATGTAGTATTGAGATGAGGTGATTCTAGGAAATAATGTTTGATGCTTGTCAAATAGTGGAGCAGGAGGGTGAGAAGCCACTAATTGGAATAAGGCCATTGTCGTCTCAATATATATATATAGGGGGAAGCATAGTAGGGAACTGTGCGTTTACGGGCTCACTATAGCCCCGTGCTACATGGACATTTCGTTCTGAGTAGTTAAATCTAAAACAACAAAGGGAAATGTTTGGGAACTACTGTTTAGGGTGATTAGTTTCTTTAGGTAAATTATTATTTTCCCCATGTTGCTCAAATTCTATAACATAGCACACTAATGTATGAGTGGTTCCTAATGTATGAGTGGTGGCTTGAGCCCAAGGCAGCCCATATAAAAGTAGAATATGGATCAACTTGTTTTGTCTAAAACTGTGACCTCTGTAGAACAAAATATGTTTGGTTGGTGGACCATATGTGCTGTTCTGTTCCTAGCACACCATATTGCCAGCACCCTTTCCCACTTACCATTAATGTCACCCTTTAACAATGATGCTGTAACCTTGCAGATACCAGTCTCATTCTCTAAATTGATACAACAATTTTGTTCATGTTCATGCCTTTCATTCACATAGCATGACAGTGTAAATGATACATATATTAGTCACATTACATTTTCATATAATTACACATGTTGCTTTTTCACTCTTCTGTAACAAATTATATTAAATTTAATTACAAGATAAATATGAATTTTAACATTTCAGGTTGAAGCAAAATTAGGACGACATAAGCTTGCAGTTGCCTTTGAAAAGGATTTATCATCTGTTTTGGCTGCACTCAAGAATAAGATAACGGAAATTAAGAAACTCAGGTAATTGGAAGTGGATCAAATATAGATTTTAATATTTAAATTATTAAATATTAATTGCACACTGTTTTTAAAAGTACCTTTCTAGTTGCACATAAAAATACTAAACAAAATTTTTCCATTTTATATTGTAAAACACTTATTTCTGATGTCAGGAAGAATAAAAACAAATACTAACTATTTTAGTTTGGCCATAGTAAGGTGAAGAAATGTTAAGGAATATTCTGAAAATTTATTTTCAAGTAAACTATTTGTACTAGATTTTTTCTTATTGCAAAGTTCTTCCTGACCCATAAAAGTTCTCAAATTTTTGCATTGTCACAATTTCCAAGTATAGGCATCAGTACGTGATGGTAATGCACCTGAAATGGTGTCAATTTTGTTAATTGTCCTTAGTATCCTTCCTGGGCAGGAAGAATGCTAAGGCTTTCAGGATTTTTGCCAATATGGCAAATGGTTGTTAGAGGTCTCTAGTGTAGAATGACTACCTCATTATTTAGGAACTTTAAATATTAATAGGCATTAATCGTTCACTAACGATAGGAGCATCTTGGGGATTTTAAGAACAACAGGAGGAGTTTAAGGGTTAAAGGATTATTTGTTGTTATTGATTTTCTTCATGTAATTTACTAAGATAAGCACTTTACTGTAGGATTGTTTATACTGTCAGACAGTGGCAGACAGTGGGATTGCCTAGCAACAATATTTGAAATTTGCATTTTGTATTTTACTGCTGGGTTAAAAAACTGTAAATTCTGATTTTTTACTTAATAAATGTGATTTAAGGTAGGCTAATGCAATTTATTTTGAAATACTGATATTTGCATGCGCAAACATATATGCATAATTATGCAGATAAGAATAGCCTTTAGAAACCTAATTAAGGAATCGGGTCAATCCCAGTATAAAATCCACAACTTTAGCATGAAGAAATTGTGTTTTAGATATTTGCTGCAGGGGCTGCATCTGCAATTCACAAGCTGAACAATGAAGACAGGCTAATGAAAGTGAATCTTAGCTCATTGCAGGGGAGTAGAACTGTAAGAGAGGCAATGATGTAAACAGTAATTTAAGATTGATAATGTGGAGGAGAATATATTGATAAGATGAAATAGAACAAGAGGATACAGGTGAAATTAAAAACAAATGAGCCACAAGGATATAATAAAGTTCTTTACTATGCAGTGTATGAGTAGTGATCAGGTGAAATTAGAAATTGTTTATATTAGAGAAGTTATTTTTGCAGCTCAGCAGAGAAAAAATTAATGCTTTGTAGACTCTGTTAAATTTGTTATTATGGTATATATAAGAGGAATGTTTATAGTGAATCCAAACAACAATAAAGTTATGATGGTGGCAAGAGAAGGAAATTCCTTGTGTGAAATAAATGTGAATGATGAACAGTTAGCCGTAAGTGCTTAATTAGTTTCAATACCCAAGATATGTGATTGCATAAAAGGAGGAATTTATGTCAAACAAAGTTAGATATAGAGTTAAGTTGTGAAAGTAGCTGTGGCAATGAAAGTCTTGGTCAGGAAAAGCAAGAAAGGAATAGGTACACCCAGAGGTCTGCATGAAGGCTTGGTGGTGGAGACTATGGTGTGGTATGGACATGAAGAAATCGAGGAAACATTAGAAATTGACACTTTTACAACCATGTGTGTGGTAATGAGAATAGATATATGGAGAGCAATTGCCAAGTCAACTATAAGGTTAAGATCATATTGAGATGATTTGAGTATGCTTAATGAATGGATGATCGTAAACTAGTGAAGAAAATGTATTAAGGTAAATTTGAGAGTAAGAGGAGAAGAAAGTGGACAGACATGGTCAACAAGCATGTAAGAAATTGAGGAGTGAGCATGGACAACTCTGAATGTTATAGGACAATGCTGGGTGGAAATGGTTTACATGAAAGGTGTAAGTATGATTTTATGCAATACTAGTATATATAATTCTTGAGCTTTATACCCCCTGGTTTTATGTAGCTGTGGGGTTACTGCTGTGGATGACTGCTGGAGAGTGGCGGTGCTAGTCTGCCTGTGATATCACATATTATGTTACAGTACAGTATTATAGTTAGTATGGGGTGTTATTATTTTGAAAGGATGAGAGATTCTTTGAACTTGTTATTATTTAGTATCTATACTCTTACTATTTTGCATGCCTTTATTTTCTCAAGGTTGTTATTGCCCACCATGTGAAAGTGGGAAATTGAGTAATGATAATTATGTAATTAATTAAATCCTCTTTATTGAACAGCAAACCCAAGGATCAGGATGTAGAGGAAATTAGAAAAGATTCTCTTAACCAAGATTCATCAACCACCATTCCACTTCAATCCATCACTAAGGTCAGCACTAGTCAGATGGATATTCCATTACCATCTGCCACTCTGTCTCAAAAGACTGCCTGCATCTCAGCAAATGAATCTAATAAGGCTTCTGGATCATATAATAACTCAGGTATGTTTTACTTTAACTGCACTGTGACTAGAATTTCTAATCCAGATGCACACCACTTGTTAAATGCACATATTCTCTCCAAACTTAAACATACATGAGCACATACTGTATGCCTACACGTATGCATACATGTGCAAAGATGCACACACAGAGGAGAACCACAACATACATATGAGTGAGAGAAATGCGTACACAGGAATTGGGAGAACAGTAGAGAAACAGTATGAGAACAAAATAACCAAGAAACGATCTAAACTACTATATAGCCACATACAAAGGAAGATGTAGGTAAGTGATAAGGAAATGTGTAAAAAACTTATTAAAAGCTTGTAGGAAATTTTCAGGATGGAACCAGAGCTGCCCATAGATCCATGACTTCTAAATGAACACAAGTCCAGAAGAAAAAACTAAGTTTTTTATCTAATTTTTCTTCTGGACATGTGTTCATTTAGAAGCCATGGATCTAGGGATCTAGAAGTGACACTGGAAGACGGAATCATTTTGAGGAATTGGATGTGATAAAAGCCACAGGCCTAGATAAGCTCTCACCAGGGATATATGCTAAAATAAGCAACTGCAGAATAGAAACTCTTTCTTTAGTTTTTGGTTCATCATTTGAAATGGAGTAACTACCTAAAAATTTTGGAAAATGGCTAATATGGTGTTTATGTATAATAAAGATAGAAGACAAGAGCTACTGAACTATAGACCAGTATCAATTATAAGTACTGTATATGAAGTAAGGCATTAGTGAGACTGATTAGCAAGCAGTTTGTAAAATACTTTAAAACTGAATTTTATCTCATAATATCAACATGAATTCAGCAAAGGGAAATACAGATTGACCAACATTAATATTAGAGTTCTATGACAAGATGCCAACAATAACAGGAGATGAAGGACTGGACCGAATGAGTTTTCCTGGATTGCAAGAAAGTTTTTAACACTGTTCCTCTTAGGCAAACTAGAGAAGCTGACTATTTTATCATGAAGATTACAAAAGTTGAGTAAAGGGACTGTTTTTCAAAGAGGAGAGAAATCAAAATGGAGAGGAGTAACAAGCAGAGTACCACATGGGTTGATACCAGGGTCCATCCTGTTCCTGATACAGTAAATGTAAATGACCTAACAGTGAGAGCAAGTTGATTTGTATCAATATTTGCTAGCAGTGCTATACCAGTGAGAAGAATCAGAACCGAGGACTAGAAATACATTGCAATATGAACTAGACAGCCTCCAGAGGTGGTCAAAGACATGGCAATGAAATTTAACCCAGACAAATGAAAGGTTATGAGGCTAGAAATAGGAGTGAAATGGTTTCAGATACTCAACCCAGTCAGGAGCCGGTTGTGGTGTGTAACACATCTTTATAAATAATATCTTTTCTGTGACATATAATTACAGTGGTACCTCGCATAATGATCACCCCAAAAGGCGAACATTTTGGGTAACAAATGGCCCGATCGGTGATAAATCGTCCCGTATGGCTCATTTGGGTAAAGTCAACTTAAGAACATTCTCGGACGCCTCCGACGATGCACATAAATTATGTTGTTCTTGTTTAAAGATGCTAATGATGCTGGGATATAAAGGGGTGACTGCTGAGATGTTGCAAAGCATTGATGTTTTTGTAGAAAAAAAAAGAAATGAAATTTCTGAAATACAACAAATTGTTCTGACTTCAATTGTCAGGCTACATCGTCATTATTTTATCCAGTTATGCACAATCTAAAGGCGCTCATTTTGAAACCACTCCCAGATTGGTCGGATAAAATTAAAAAATTTTAACAAATATTTTAAAATAATGGACACAAGTACGAGTCTACCGAGTAGACTCGAGAGAAATTTTGGACTCCAGTTCAAGTCACCCGAGTGCGATAGTGTTAAATTAAATTAAGAGAGCAACATAAGCAAAAATCCATGTAAATTGGGGAAAAGGGAATAGTAATTGCATTGCTTATTTTTTGTTTTTCTAAAGAATAAAGACTGCATTACTGTAATTAGATGTTTAATTCCAGGAGTTGGTGCTTTTGTGGGACATGGGTTCCGAAAAAGAAATTATAGGCCCGGTCCAAACTCAAGCCAGAGGAGTAGCTCGCCATCTCCCACTAATTCACCATCACCTAAAAGAATTTCACCAAAACGAAGAAATAATTCCAGATCGCCATCACCCAAGAGAAGGCGGGAATCTAGTTCACCATCTACCAAGAAAATGTAAGGGTATTATAGCATGACTATTATGTAATGCTTGTTTATCTGTTAATGGTAATGTTAAGTTCATTGTGTACTATAAATACTGAAAATTGTGAATATTTATGCTTGGCTATGTGTTGTGTTTGTGTTAAACACCTTGTTTATAGGTGTGCCGTGTGCAATCATGGTATTCAAAATGGGTAGTGAATAAGGATTCTAGGTTTAAGGAGCATGAATATGTTTTCCCCAATATTTTAAAATTTCTATTACCATTAGAAAGCTTTAAAGTGTTTTTAAGTCATGTCAATTATCCCCCCAAAATTGGCAATAATGACAAGTTGCCACCTAGTGTTTTCCTCTTATGAAAACAAAACGTAATAAAGTACAGTACATACAGTACAAGAAACGTTATGTAATTAAAACCGATTTAGTTGAGGATTTTGTGGCACTGGATTTTTTGGTTGAAAAATTCAAATCTCAAATCTGTTTTTCATTGTCTTTAGATTTGGTGCATGACACTATAAGGAAATAAACTTATGTGACAGGGAGTGTATACAAGGAATATTTGGTTGTGAATATCAAGCAAGTATGTAGGTAGAAGAAACACAAATAGGTAGAAGGATGAGAGGAACTCTGTGGTAGGATGAGGACGGGCAGTTGATAATAAGAAAAAGTAAATGTTATACAGTATATACATTTAAAATAGGCAAGAAAAGACATGTGGGGGAGACTAAAAGGTATGTGGATAGGTTAGTTCAGCTGGAAAAAATGGAATGAATAAGATATTGAGAAATATTATACACGATTATGAAAGCATGTTAGTTCATTTTGGTAGCAGGAATTGCAGCAGGAAGACATATGGAACTATTAAGTTTTAAGAACGGGAGAATTATCAACTGAAAAGGTGACATTAGAAGTAAGTTCAGGTAATAGTATGGAAACGATGAAAGATTCTAATGGAAAAATATAATTCTGGGTGAAAAAAGTTGAAATAATCTGTGGAAGAAATAAGTACATCAGGGAAGGTGAAAAGTGGCATGTGTAGACTTTATTAATTTATTGGAGGTAAAGAAATGCAGTGGATTTTGACAATTTTATGGAAGGAATGAGATGGTGGTACTTTGTCAAGATTAGAAAGGACCCCCCTGTTAATTTATAGCACTGCATATAAATAAAGAACATAGTATAGGAATTACATATGCATTATTTTACTTTCTTGAGTAGCTTTAAAAATGGCCTGAGATATAATTACTGTATACTGCTAAATTTTAAAAACAAGAAAGAACAAATAATAGCTTAAGAACTACAAAAGAGTAGGTATATGAACAGATAATGTTCTAGTCTTATTTTATTTTCCCCTACAATATTTCTTTGAAGACAATCAGCAAGGTCACTTTTTTCATATAACTTTTAACTGAATTTTGTATTTAAGAACAATTCAAATGAGGCATCTTTATGTATTTTATTTTCTTACCAACTCAGAAAGCAGAGTCGTTATTCACCATCCAGGGACGATTCCACACAGTTCTACTCTGGAAGCCGGAAGCGGAGACAGTCGAGATCCCCTACTTCATCTAACAGACGCTCTGGATCACGCTCTAGAGGTGTACATGGTCGCCACAGGTCACGGAGCCGATCTCGATCTAAGCACAGGTCACGTAGCCGATCTCGATCAAGACATAGGTCACCTTATAGAAGGTATGTGTATTTTTAAGTGTGTGTTATCTGGGAAGTTATTTTCATTTAGAAAAAATGGGATAAAATGTAGTGATCCATTCAGTATGTTAGAAATTTGATTACATATTTGAAAGTTGCATTTTTGAGACGTCACTAATCTCATCATAACTTATTCAGTGTTAGTTCATCTTAATATTATTATTATTATTATCTACCTCTGCCAAAAGCTCTGCTTGCAATGTTTCCTTGGTGACCTTCCTTTGTATCTCTTGGCTAGATAATTATAGAGGTAACTACTTAACTTGTATATGGTAAACATTTATGATGCCAAGTGAGGTAGATATATATGACTATCAGTTTATTATTATTATTATTGGTTATCCTTGGCTGGATTGAGTTTTTCTTGTATCTCCTTAGCATCTTGAATGGTCATACAGGGAAATTTAAAACGTATTGTGTAGTTCCTAAACCATAATGTTATCCTGCCTGACTGTATATAATCTTGATCTAAAGACACAGCTGGTACTTTAGGAAGTAACTGAATGATTCTATAAAAGTGTATTTCATATTGACAAAAAAACTGTGCATATTTTTTTATTATTTTTTTTAAGTTTAGTCTCTGCATAAATAAATACTTGTTTATATACATCTTGCAAGCATGTTGTTAACCTTATTAATTCTTGTATCCAGGAATGATAGACGAACACAGCATAGCCCCCAAAGGAAAAGAGATTCTAAGGGCTGGAATAAGCATTCTATGGAAAATAACTTGAAGGAATTTAGAGAATCGGAAGTTCGACTTAGGGCCCGGCACATAAATAGACAGGTATGGATTTGTGATAAATGTTGATATGGAATTTCAGATTTTATGATGTGTTGTTTGACTTGTTGAGCCTCGCGTTTTTGTTTTAACAAAACAAATTTGTTACGCGAACATAAGAACATAAGAACATAAGAACAAAGGCAACTGCAGAAGGCCTGTTGGCCCATACGAGGCAGCTCCTATTCTATAACCACCCAATCCCACTCATATGGTTGGACAAGTATATGAGTGGGATTGGGTGGTTATAGAATAGGAGCTGCCTCGTATGGGCCAACAGGCCTTCTGCAGTTGCCTTTGTTCTTATGTTCTTATGTTCTTATGTTCGCGTAACAAATTTGTTGATAATGTTCAATAATGAACAAAGTTAGGGTATCAGGTACAATACATATTAAACATCAAATGTTCACTACTCTTCACTCTCCTAACAAATATAAGAAATATCTCTGAAATGACTGTAGAAGCTTTCAAGAGAGAATGTAACATGTTTCTTCTGGCTGGAGTTACTGGATCAACCTGGCTGTAATGATTATGTTGCCCTGCAGGCCTCAAATATGGTCCACATAGACCAGGTAATTGCCAAGGAAGGCTGTTCCCAGGTCAGGCATCAATTAAACAAAATTCTATCAATATTGTCTATTTGTAATTTACAGATGCTCCCACAGTCTGGCCTTAGGCCACAAATGTAAAGTTAACTCTTTAAGGCTTCAATCTTTGTCTCAAAATAGATTTCTTCAATTTTTTAGTGGGTTAAAGAATTGCAGAGCTTTGATGTTCGACATTGTTCTCGTACTACTCCGATGGCAGCCCTGTGGCTTATTAGGTTTATTCTACCCTACCTATCATATTTCTGACCATAGCCTATGTCATAATTTAGTACTATAACCTATGTCATAATTTAGTACTATAGCTTATTTTTCCTATGTATATTTTGAGATATACACAGGAAAATCCTTAGTGCATAAAGGTGCTCCCCGTAGTTTAAATGCTCAACTGTTTCTGTTCGTGCCAAAAAAAAAAGACAATGAAATTTTTAATATACAGTACTATAAAAGCCCTAGAGTTAAAATAAATTCTATATACTAATAATACACTAAAGTGTCTTAACCAAATTATGCAAAATATTATCGCGTGATCACCAACTTATTGAAAAAAAATAGTTAATAAATTTAATAATGCTTTTGCAATGAACATTACTAAAAAAAAAGTGAATTCAGGAATGAATACTGAGCTATACTACCAAGTCCCCCAAAGAAACTATGAAGCTTCACAAATTAGTAGCTCAACAGACTTTGAAAGTTGACACAAATAGACAGTCATTCATATGCAAAGTGACAGATAAATGGACAGGCAGATACAGAAAGACAGAGATAAGAGACACTCAAGTCTGTTTATTTGAAAATTCTTGTACATACATGCAAATGTGTCTTTTTCTACCCCTCTTACCCTGTATTTAGCTAAAGTTGCCTTTTGGCAGCAATAACAAAACTAGAGATAATCTCAAGGCTTAGTCACATACTGATAATGGTTAATGTACTTATGTTAGAAATCTAGGTTGTGATTTGTATCTCCAGCATTAGTACATTATTATAACTATTTATCCATTTCCTGACACCAAGAAATGCCTAGCATTTTCTCATACAATACATAGCATTTTAAGGTGCATTATATTAATATATTCTTGATACATAGCTGTTGAATGTTTCATTTAGTAAAAAAAATTAGATTTTTCCTTATTTTGTCTTCTCACCATATATAAATTGCCACTACTATCTCCTAACAGGTCGGTTATGAGAAACATCCAGAAGATCATCCTGATTACAATCATGAATGGAGAATATTTTGGGAACGTCGATGTGCTGAACTGGAAGCAAGTGGGATTAACGCATTTTCTCATGATTTCAAAAGTGAATGGGCTCTTTTTTGGCGTCAGCGCATCAAGGAAATTATGGCCAGTGAATACAAGTCTAAAAGAGATTCACTTTTGAGGAAATATAACTTAGAAGATCCTGATTTGCCAGTATCTGCAAAGCAAAATTATGAGACTGGTAAAACTGGTAGAAAAGCTGATCCATCGTGGAGCTCTACTGCTAGAGAAGACACAGTTAGCCGCATTGACCGATCTCCAAGTCCTTGGGAAGATGATGGTAGAACTAAAAAAAGTGATAAAAATCCTTCTCCACCTAGAGAAGTTATAAAGGAAAAAACTCAATCTCCTACAACATATGAAGAGGAATTTTCTGTTATTGGAACATTAAAACTTCTTAATGAATTAGAAGACCAGCTTGGGTCTTTTGGTCCTGCTATCATAACCCTTCTTGACAAGGCTGTTGAACACAGTCAAAAAGGTGGCAATGCTATGGACCTATTTAATGATCCTGACAACTTGGTTCTAGTTCGGTATGCAAGAGAAAAGTTAAGTTCACAAGTTTCTGCCAGAATTTTAGGCGTTTCAGCTTTAGTTCGCACCCAGATGGCTGTTGAAAGAGCGATGTGGTTACAGTCAGAAGCTGAAAAATTGTCAAACAAGGAAAAATATCTTGGTTTAGATATAGCTAACATTGCTAGAGCAACACTGGGTAAAGATAAAATACAAGTTGCCCAATATATTGCTCAACATTTGTTACAAGTTGGCAATTCAAATGTAAGCGAACAAGACTTGCAGAACATATTGGTTGCAGTTTCTGCTTCACATAAACAAATTGCTGTAGAGCAAGCTGAAAATGAAGCTCAAAACAAAACATCAGATGATTCAGAGAATGCTGTAGAACCTGTCCATACTTCAGTGTCAAACAGTCCTTCAAAGGAAAATTCAAAGAATGCATTTAACACACTAGATGCAAAACAGTCGCAGAAATCATTGTTCCCATCTGCTGCATCAAATAATAATACACGCAGTTCTAGGCGTAGCAGATCTCCCCCTTCTAAAAGTCTTGGCTTGTCCATGTTGCAGTCAGCATATGAAGATGAAAATGCAAAAGATATGGAAAAGTTATCATTAGAAGACTTGAGATCACTTTTGGCTAACTTCCGATCATTGAGCCCAGAGGAACAGCAAGCTCTCACTACTTACCTAAAAAAGCTTGAGGCAACTGACAGCAAGAAAGTAATGAAGTTGCGTGAAGAAATGCAGAAAAGTGCCAAAAATGCTGCAAAAAAAGTAATTCCTAAATCAAACCCTGCAAATTCTCAGACAAAACCAGTAGAATTTTCTGAAGGTTCTACTGTGATCAAAGATATACGGCATCCTATCACAAATACTCCAGCAAGTCGACCACCAGCAGAGGCATTTACACCTCAGCAGATAAAGCTTGATATGCAAAATAAACCTGAAATGTTTCAGCCTTCTGGAATCACGATGCATAGAGGTAACAGTATACCTACTGATATTTTTAATCCACCAGCAGAAGCAGAGGTACAAAAACTAAACACTTATCAAGAGAGAAAAAAGTCTCCACTTAGTATTAGTGAAGCATTGAAAGAATTTGAATCTCAAAATAGTTTTGAAGTCTTGGATGCCCAGAACAGGATGTCCTTCAGTAATAATAGTCAACTTGAATATTCAGGGCCTCCCAGGCCTTCCATTCCAAGAGAGGGTTCTAGCTATACTTTGGGTTCGGATTTCCCTCGACAAAACTTTACTGAATCTGTTGACAAAGATCACTATCGAAGTGATTATAATAGGCCATTTGGACAAGGTGGACCTCTTGGTCACAATACATCAGAGGGTCCACCAATATTTAACAATCCAGGAAGCTCTCAAGGTGTGCAGAATTACAAGCCAGTTTATGATAGAGGCTATCCTTCCAGAGGGGATACTTTTTCTAATAATTCTAATGAGCGAAATGAGAATAATTGGTATGATGAAAGGTCTCATCCTCCTCCTTTTGCACCACCAGAGCCATTCCAGTCAAGGGAATTTGGAAATTCTCTTAGAGGAAGGCCGCCACCTTTTGGAGGACCTCCTGGTACTCAATTACCCTTTCAACAGCAGTGGTAATTTTCGTAATAACTTTTTTATCTGTACATTTATATAAAAAAGTGTTATAAAAGAAGTAAAAGAAACAATACAAACAAAAAATTATGTACATTGTTTGAGGCACATCCTTCATAAGAAATTTATTTTTTTTTTTGTTTGTGAATTAGCACTTTTTTTTCAAAACTTACTTATTGGATATGCCATTGTGTGTTTGGGTAAGAAAGAAAGAAAGAATGATGTATATTGTATGAGGGAAAATAATTATATTATTTAAGCTAATGCACTAATGGAACTACAGTTCCATTTATTTTCTTTATTACATAATATGAGATACCATATTAGGGTATGTTACCTGTTGTGATATCTCATTCAAACTTTTAATAAAAATCATTTGACTTTGAAATTTTATTTAACCTTCACTTCTTGCTACATTAGGAAAAAACCGTTCCTTAAAATATATGGTTGTGGGCATTACGTAAACTACTGTGAGGCATGCAGCAAATATATAACTTATTTTTGTTGCAGTTCTTACAATAAAGCATTTAATTACAGTTCTGCTCTTGTGTTGCAATTGGGTTACATTCCTGAGAATTGAAGCTTGTGTCAACTGAACTTTGGCTCAATGAACTTTACATGACTAGCGGATGACTTTTGAGAGATTTTCTCAAAAATAGCTTCCCTCAGTTCATGTGTTCATGAAACACATGAACTGCCCGAAACGCTACGCGTACTAGTGGCTGTACAAGAATGTAACAACTCTTGTATATATCTCAAAAAAAAAAAAAAAAAAAAAAAAAAAGTTACAAGTTACAAGGGAACAAGTGAGAAGGCGGTGGAGGCCAAAACCGGAATTGCACACTGATTTTAATGCAGAAATGTCGTGATTATCATAATATAATGATGTTAAGGTACGAAAACCTTTTTATTCGTTAAATTGTATAATGCAATTAAAAGAACCTAACTCACAGCCCCTCTGTTCAAGTCCCTCAACATGCTAAACATTTACTCACTCTACACATTCTCGTGTGCTATCTACATCTCTTTATTCATATTCTTAACTTATTATCAACTTCGGTTGCCTCGATTTTGGTCATAATAGTGTCTTGGAAGACGAGACCAGCAGCGAACACAAACCAGCGCATATGTATATACAGAAGGGTTCGTATATATATATTCTTTTAAATTTTATATAGATTTATATTCTTTTAAACTAAAGAAATTTACATTTAATTGGGAAATATATATTTGTCTGTATCTCAGTTAAATGCATTAATTAAAAAAATGGCAACTGGTCGGGTTCAAGTTACACAACTGGTTACACAACTGGTCAGGGTCCAGTTACACAACTGGTTGGACTCTGGTTACACAACTGGTCAGGGTCCAGTTACACAACTGGTCGGGCTCCGGTTACATAACTGGTCTTGCTATGGGGGTGTCACTTGGGCTTCAGGTTATGTATAGTCGGGCTTCGGTACGTACATGGTTGTGCTTCAGATGTTGTTTGTTCGGCTCGTTCATGCTAGGCTTGCAGTTACAAAACTGGTTGGGTTCCAGTTACACAACTGGTCAGGTTCCAGTTACACAACTGGTTGGGTTCCAGTTATACAACTGGTTGTGTTCCAGTTACACAACTGGTTAGGGTCCAGTTACATAGCTGGTTGGGCTCTGGTTACACAACTGGTAGGGGTCCAGTTACACAACTGGTGGGGCTTCGGTTACACAGCTGGTCGGGCTCCAGGGTGTCACTTCGGCTTCGGGTTATGCATGGTCAGGCTCCGGGGGTGTCACTTGGGCTTCGGGTTATGCATGGTCGGGCTTCGGTTCGTGCATGGTTGTGCTTCAGAGGTTTTGTTCGGTTCGTTCATGCTAGGCTTGCAGTTACATACACAACTGGTCGGGTCTGTTTACACAACTGGTCGGGCTTCGGGGTGCACAATAAACCACCACCGGCCGAGAGTATGCCGGTCTGCCGAGCGGACAGCACATGGGACTTGTGATCTTGTGGTCCTGGGTTCGATCCCAGGCGCCGGCGAGAAACAATGGGCAGAGTTTCTTTCACCCTATGCCCTTGTTACCTAGCAGTAAAATAGGTACCTGGGTGTTAGTCAGCTGTCACGGGCTGCTTCCTGGGGGTGGAGGCCTGGTCGAGGACCGGGCCGCGGGAACACTAAAAGCCCCGAAATCATCTCAAGATAACCACTCACTGGTTGAATAGGTGATGCTTAATGAACTATCCACCTCAGGCTGCAAAAAATCAAGATATATATATATATATATATATATATATATATATATATATATATATATATATATATATGTCGTTCCTAGTAGCCAGAATGCACTTCTCGGCCTACTATGCAAGGCCCGATTTGCCTAATAGGCCGAGTGATTTTCTTTATTTTTAATAAATTGTTTCCAATTAGTTTATTTTAATTATTACAATTATATTATATTAGGAACATAAATTATTGACTTAGTTGTGTTAGTTTAGGTTAGGTTCAGATAGGTTAGGTAGGGTTGGTTAGGTTCGGTCATATATCTATGTTAGTTTTAACTCAAATTTAAGCACATTAACTCATACACAATGAAATGGATAGCTTTATCAGTTCATAAGAAAAAGAATTTGAAAAATATATAAATTCAGGAAAACTTGGCTTATTAGGCAAATCAGGCCTTGCATAGTAGGCCGAGTACGACGTTCTGGCTACTAGGTACGACATATATATATATATATATATATATATATATATATATATATATATATATATATATATATATATATATATATATATGTCGTACCTAGTAGCCAGAACGCACTTCTCTGCCTACTATGCAAGGCCCGATTTGCCTAATAAACCAAGTTTTCATGAATGAATTGTTTTTCGACTACCTAACCTACCTAACCTAACCTAACCTAGCTTTTTCGGCAACCTAACCTAACCTAACCTATAAAGATAGGTTAGGTTAGGTTAGGTAGGGTTGGTTAGGTTCGGTCATATATCTACGTTAATTTTAACTCCAATAAAAAAAAAATGACCTCATACATAATGAAATGGGTAGCTTTATCATTTCATACGAAAAAAATTAGAGAAAATATATTAATACAGGAAAACTTGGCTTATTAGGCAAATCAGGCCTTGCATAGTAGGCCAAAAATTGCGTTCTGGCTACTAGGTACGACATATATATATATATATATATATATATATATATATATATATATATATATATATATATATATGTCGTACCTAATAGCCAGAACGCACTTCTCAGCCTACTATTCAAGGCCCGATTTGCCTAATAAGCCAAGTTTTCATGAATTAATGTTTTTTCGTCTACCTAACCTACCTAACCTAACCTAACCTAGCTTTTTTTGGCTACCTAACCTAACCTTACCTATAAATATAGGTTAGGTTAGGTTAGGTAGGGTTGGTTAGGTTCGGTCATATATCTACGTTAATTTTAACTCCAATAAAAAAAAATTGACCTCATACATAGAGAAAAGGGTTGCTTTATCATTTCATAAGAAAAAAATTATAGTAAATATATTAATTCAGGAAAACTTGGCTTATTAGGCAAATCGGGCCTTGAATAGTAGGCTGAGAAGTGAGTTCTGGCTACTAGGTACGACATATATATATATATATGTCGTACCTAGTAGCCAGAATGCACTTCTCGGCCTACTATGCAAGGCCCGATTTGCCTAATAAGCCAAGTTTTCCTGAATTAATATATTTTGTCTAATTTTTTTTTTATGTTAGGTTAGGTTAGGTAGTCGAAAAACAATTAATTCATGAAAACTTGGCTTATTAGGCAAATCGGGCCTTGCATAGTAGGCTGAGAAGTGCGTTCTGGCTACTAGGTACGACATATATATATATATATATATATATATATATATATATATATATATATATATATATATATATATATATAATATACAGTATGTGTGTGTGTATGTACAGAAATAATATTAATAAAAAATTAACATCGTGTAGTGTACTCTATATATCAAAATATATTGCTTTGAAACCCGCATCATTCACTCAAAAAAAAATTGGGCTACTTTTATTACAAATTCGTTACTTTTAGACCGTCAGCTCGCTACTTTCCGCAATTTGGATCTGGCGACCCTGCCGCCCACCACGGCCCGAGGCGGTGGTGGGCATTTGGCTCTTGCCTGGCCGGAGGGTACTGGGATGTGTTTCTGCCCATTTGGGTAAGAGTTTAGGCGGGGCCATGTTTTTGCCTTGACTTTGGCAACCTGGTGGTCTCTGTTGGGTGTGGGTCCGTCGGGGGGCATGGTGGGCTCCTTGTCGGTCCACAATTTGGAGTTCAGAATTTACCTGAGAGCCACTAACACTAGTGGCCTCGACGAGGACAGGAAGCCGGCGGCTTGTCGCAGTTCTGTTACCGCAGCCTGGATTGTGGTTAACCCGTGGTAATTTTTGAGTCCTACCCTGCCAGGAGGTCATTTAATGACAATTACTGTATTTTTGCGCAGCTATTGGTTGAGGGTCCCATCACGATTCTGCTGTTAGGGTACAGCTTCCCAGAGTTCACAGGGGCGCCTGCCACTTCTTAGCGTATGGGGATCGGGTGTCCAGTGCTCACCCTCTCACGGGACGCCCAGTACCTGCCCAACTGTTTATCTGTTGCAAAATATAATAGTGTTTCACCAACATTCAATTTGTAGCTGCAAGGCTTTATAACGCTGGTGCACATCCAGCACTTGTGTCGTTATGGCGCCCTAAATCAACAATATTAATATATACCAAGCTGAGGATTCCTCGGGTTCCTGATTAAGTCAAGGACAATATGTTGTGTGCTCTTCCCGGGGCTACTTGGCTGCCAGTTATTGCCGAAAGGTACAGATTTTAATTACCAGGAAGGAAAGATTCGTGAAGTTTTATCATTTTATAAATGTCTATCGCAAGGCACAAATTACTAGACAGTGAATGAATGTTGTGTATTGTATACTCGCCTAGTTGTGGTTCCGGAGGTTGAGCTTTGGCTCTTTGGTCCCGCCTCTCAACTGTCAATCAACTGGTGTGCAGATTCCTGTGCCTACTGGGCTGTATCATATCTACATTTGAAACTGTGTATGGAGTCAGCCTCCACCACATCACTGCCTAATGCATTACACCTGTTAACTACTCTGACACTGATGTGCTTCACTTGGTCAGTCAGGTTGAGGTAAAAAAATACACTGCAAGGTATTTGCTAAACTTAAGCCAGCCTTCCTAACAATGCAGAGTATATGGGGTTTTGGCTATTGAAAAGTGTGCTTTGTTAAAAGGTAAGTTTTTGACTTAACAATACCCCAGTGATATGTCAGTATGCTATACTACCCAGTTACAGCCCCACTCCTGTGCCAGGTAAATCCACTATGGGTTCACCATAGCCCGTGCTACTTGGAACTTTTGTTCCATGTAGCTGAATCTAAAACAACAACAACAGCTATACTAGCTTTGATCACAGATATTATTTTAGGGATTTTCAAGCAAATAATTTACTAAAAAAGAAATAACCCAGGGATGGAAAAATTTATAGTGGACTGCAGTATAACTAACAGTCCTTTGAATACGAATAGCCTTAACCATGAGCACATTCCATGCACTGCATAATTCTGTGCATCAATCATTACATTGTATGAAACTGTTCAATTCAATCGTGAATTCAGAGTTCGAATCCCTGGCAGGACAGAAATGGTTGGGTGCATTTCCTATCACCACCTAATGCCCTTGTCAGCCTAGCAGTAAATAGGTACCCCAGGAGTGAGTCAGCTTGTTGTGGGGTAGCACCCTGGGGGATGGGAACATTGAGATAAGTCTAACGTATATTCATATATAGAATGGCTGCCTGTCCCCTGACACAGTGAGTTATACGGGACAAACTTTCTGCTGTTCTGTGCATGGTTATGCTAGAAACAAATCAAGTTGAAAACTACTACTGTAGTTTACTACTTGTAGTAAACTACAGTAGTATCTGCTATCCATATAATATATATGCACAACATTCTTACCACAGTAGGGTATTACAGCACTTAATAAACAGATGTCAAAATGGTCTTTCAAATTCTTGGGGTTTCTAACAATTTCTTCTAGAATTTCAGCAGCTTTCCCCAATAAAAACAATTTGCCACTAGGTAATATGGCTGGTGGAGCTGTGAGAATATTTATTACTGTAGTAGCTTCATACTTAATCTTAGTGCCTATTTAGTCGCACTGACTTACCACTTTCTTCTGATAATGACCATGTTTTACCTTGGTGTTAGGGACCACTTCATTGTCGACTGAATTTTACTAGCGTACGGATTCATTACGTATTGTATTTATATGGGCCCCATACATATGATATTATAATTAAAATGTACAGTAATAAAATATAATTTAAAAATATAATTACTGTAATTGTTAAAATAATTATATGGCCATGTATTTTTGGGTTCAGAGTGCACAGTAATGAGAGTACTAATTGAACACTTATAACAGCTGCAAAAACATGCTCACAAACAATTGTGACCTGCACCTAAGTCTTAATTGGCTCTCGTATTTAGAGCATATCATTGACTTGAAAGCCAGAATTAACACAAGCGTGCCCTACTCGGTACTCAAGATCTGTAGAAATTCCCACAGACCCAAAGTTATTAATGAATCTGTTACCCAGTATTGCTTAAAGACAGTGTGTACTGCTACTGTGTGTATTCAGTTACTGAATACCCAATGAGGGAGCGAAGTAATTGTTAGATCTATCCTGCCTAATAACAGAATTCATGGCAACAATATTGGAAGGCATCTTAATATATAATTGTGGCAGGCACATAAGTTTTCACATGAAGACTTGATAATCTAATTGAACTAATTTAAAATAATTTATTTTGTGGGGAATAGGCAGTCTATGTTAGACTTCAAGGTCCCTCCCAAATTACTGACCTTCCCCAGGATGCAATCCCACAACAGTTGAGTAACTCATGGGTACCTATTTACTGCTAGGTGAACAGGTCCATTAGGTAAAAGGAAACATGCCCAACCATTTCTTTCCTGCCTGGGATTCAAACCTGGGATTCCCAATGGCAAGTCAAAATTTTCTTGCCCGAAACGCTATGCATGCTAGTGGCTCTACAAGAATGTAAAATCAACTCAATTTCTATGTTCTCTGTTAATCCCCAATGTACCTTCTTGTATATAAATAAATAAATAAATAAAATTGAGCCCAATTGTTGTACAGTACACTTATAGATGTCATGGATAATGACATGGTAATAGATGAACAGATGTCATGGTAATAAGCGTTTCTGCCCGAAACGCAGCGCGTACTAGTGGCTTTACAAGAGTGCAATTACTGTACCATGCTATGTATTCTCACAAACCCAGTGTACCTTCTTGTATATAAATAAATAAATAAATAAATGGATAATGATTCCATATGGTATTTGAAAGTTTGCATTTTATGTTCAAGCTCAAAGTTGTTTGTCTTATTTTATAGTATAAAACAATATATTTTTGAACAAATAAAACCTGTGTTAATGCTACATTTTGGGCCAAAAATTGCAGATTAATAATTATGGTTATGACAATAAATTAATAATACTGTAATAAGAGACCTGCAAAACAGTACAGTAAAGTACAGTATACCTTTATGCTGATTTCAGTTATTGTAAAGGTAACACAATTAATGTTTAATTTCTTTTACAAATAGCTCTAGGGTATTTTTCAATTATAGGAAAGGTTTATGAATTTTATAGGATAAAATAAGTGAAAGATTGTATTCACATGTGGACAATACAGTACCAGGAAAATAGCAGTGCTTTTTGGAATAATTAATAAAATGACTAAATAATACATTTTTGTGTAATTGAAGGATTGTGAATTTACATTATTCATTCCAAAGTGCACTGTATTATTAGGATACAGATCCATGCAGTACTTAATAAAGTACTGCATGGATGTTGTTTTGGATGCTATTTGGATGATGGATAAAACTCTCTCTACAATTCGAGCTGCATAATTGTTTATCTATACAGCCTAGTGCAGCACACTTGTTTAGATGACTGTAAATGTTTTGTTTAGACATTGTAAATGCTAAAACTCTGCTCAATTTTAAAATCCAATTGGAAAAATCATCAGGGCAAATGATTCAAATGAATGACTTTTGACAAGCCACTGGCTTCCTGTCCTCATTGAGGTCACTAAAATGTGGCTCTCAGGTATAGAACTTGGTATAGAATCATAATCAAATTTATAATAAATTTTACTTGATAAAGCCATTACTATACTATACCACATACGAGATGAGAGAGTATGTGGGGTAACAAAGTACAGTACTGTAATACAGTATTACAATGATAATTACAATGTAATCTTTTTCTTTTTTTTCTTTATATACAGTTATTTTATGGAGACAATAGAATATTTCTGCAAATAGACTTCAGCAAATAAGTTGGTGACAATGGCAGCTTGTGGTCTTGCTGAGCTGCCAGAGATTGTGTTGGTTTATATTTTACGATGGTGCAAAGCCCGAGATTTAGTGGCTCTTAGCTCAACGTGTCAGCTCTTCTATCAGTTGACAGCTTATGACCTTCTTTGGAAAGACTTGTGCTGGAAAGGTAATATTTTTAATGTTTACTATACCTGTATATGTTTTGTATACAGTATCAATCTTATTTACTTTCTCACTTGTAACTTGCTTCTAAAGTCACTTAATCTCTTGTACAATTTTATTTCATGGTGTCCATGTCTTGTAATTGCTGTATATGTGAGATTAAAGCAATCATGTAGAATTATAGCAAAAAAGTTTCAGCTAACTCATTATAACTTAAGAAAATCTGATTATAAGTTGTGAATTTGAAAAAAAAATTGTACAGTACACCAATTCCCCAAGTATGTATAGTACTTTATAGCAAGATAACAATTATATTAGAATAAAATTTATTTTCATATACACTATACATATTTCAGCATACAGTATTTTCATTTTGTATCTGTGATATTTAATTACAATAAAATATTGCTTTATATTTCTGAAAACAGCAACAGAATTCAAACCCAAGCTTATCCAAACACCTCAGTAGTTTCATGTATGGGGACATTTCCACTCTGTACTGCCCCTTCTCATAGACGCTCTCTCATTTTACTCTTTCATTCCGCAAACCTTTGGTGCTGAATGTGAAAATCAATGTTTTTCTTTTGAGCTAAAATTCCACTATATATTCTAGGCATCCTCAGACCTTTTTTTTTCATCTGATTCTGTTCAGTCCATTTAATTGGGTCCTTTCACAACAGAGTTTTGTACCAGCTGCTTTGGGGCTGTTTACTCAGGGTAGGGCCTCGCTTGTTTATCAAGGTATCCGAACCTGTGCATCTTTCAGCAGCTCCACCTCTTTAAGCTGATTGGTCCAGAGACCTTCCTTGCTGGTTTCAGGTTTTTCTCAGTTCTTTGTGCATGGTTTTTCTAACTTTGGTCTATTGCCATATATGAGGTGTGTAGGTGGCTGTTGTATCTTTTGTTGCATTGACAGTTTGTTGTTTTTTGGCACACTTTTTCGTCAGTTGTCCTCTGTTTCGTCGATTCTGTTCTTTTTGTCTTGGTCGTTTCATCAATATCTTAAGCCAAATACAGTACTGTCACCTCTTATTTTGAGCTTGGTAAAGCTTGGTAGCAGCTTGGTACAGCTGCTCTTGTTGGTTTTAAGCATCATTACTACCTTGGCAGTTTTGTACGTTGTCTTGTGTAGTTTTTCATCTCTGGCCTGCTCAGTCTCGTCTTGCACTGTCATGATCTCCGGATTGAGTGATGCTTTTGCTTTCAGCCCTGGTAGGCAGTTTCTTCATCTGCAGCTTCCTTCTTTTCTGCCTAAGAATAAGATGGTTAGCTTCTAGAGTGCTTCTAGATGGTTAGCTTCTAGAAACAAGACCTTTGGGTCTTGTTTCTTGGTTTGTTTGGCAGGGAAGTGCTTCATTTGTTGTGCTCATTTGTGGCTGTTTATCGCTTCCTTGAGCTCAACCCAGTCTGCTCTAGTGGTTGCATTATTTCTTGATCCAGTTTCCTTGGTCCCCTGTCCATAGCCTCAATTGAGTCAGGTCATCTGCAGTGTAGTGATTTTTATGCATACTTAAATATATATTTACATTTGTTGCAGATTTCAGCATTGCTCAACCTGATCTTGGCCCCATAGTTTCATATCGAAAGCTTTATACAAACTGTAAGTATAACTAATATTATTTTGCACTTATAAAAATCCATAGAGTTATTTGGATTAATTTGCTTTTAGTGATTTTTTAGTGAAAAAAAGAAACACATGGACACTTTTTCACCTTCAAGGAAAACAAATGGTTATAGAGACCTGCCATGCAATTGATATACTCAATAAACCCTGTGTGTGTGGACTATTAGTAAACATAAACTAAGTTTATTACCAAATTCTAGAACAGTCCCAAAAGGTACCTGCTGTTGACAACATAGACGATGACGATGGAGATGTCAACATTGAGGGTTCCACAACCCGCATGGAATCGACCATGCGTGATCCCACCTATTTCCTGGACTATTCTATCTTATCCTCTAGAAAGGAGAGGAGAATACTCTAGTGCCTTTGGTATTGCCCTCAACATGGCGGGTATCAGTGAAACTGGCCTGGGAGCTCACAGAGAGCAAGCATTTGGCTTGGACCCTTTGAGCATGGTAACATGGTCTCTGTGCGTCTTGTTCCCTTCCTGGGATTTGTCATTTATAGAATATAAATTATTTACATTTTACATTTACGATGTTTGGAAAACTACACAATGATGATACAGTTCATAATGTGATTTTTAAAGACTGTGTATCATTTTGTTATTTGACATTCTGTATGAAATTTTAATAGTTGTGAAAATAGGAACAGTGCAGTCAGAATCATTGATCTCCTTGGGTTCATCTAATTCAAAGTTGGTTTTGGAAGTATCTCATATTGTGAATAGTCTCAAGATGACTAACAGGGAAATGTTCAGGAGCACAGGTGTATGTTTTGTCATCTGGATAGCTATGTTCATAAACAGCTATAAGGTTATTGTGAACAAAGATTATCTTTGCTTGGTATACTTGTTTTATTTGAAAATATAATCTCAAGAAAATATAATATGAAGTACTTCTAAAAGTTTAGTAATCATGTAATCATGACATTTCTTTTCTTTCAGTGTTGCACAAGTATGGATGTATTCTGGGAGTATATCAGTCTCAAGTTGTTCCTTGTGGTGGACTTGTGGAAATTAGGGTATGTACTGTATCTTTAGTTCATACCATGCTAAATCTGTTTAAGTGATTTCTTTATATTTGAAAAGAATTTGAATATCGTTTTAAACATTTTTGAATTATTAATTCCCATAGTTAGGGACATGAAGCGCGCGTGTGTGTGTGTGTACTCGCCTATTTGTACTCGCCTATTTGTGCTTGCAGGATCGAGCATTGACTCTTGGATCCCGCCTTTCCAGCTATCGGTTGTTTACAGCAATGACTCCTGTCCCATTTCCCTATCATACCTAATTTTAAAAGTATGAATAGAGTTTGCTTCCATAACCTGTTCCCCAAGTGCATTTCATATTTCCACTACTCTCACGCTAAAAGAAAACTTCCTAACATCTCTGTGACTCATCTGAGTTTCCAGTTTCCATCCATGCCCCCTCATTCTGTTGTTATTCATTTCATCATTTCTTCAACCATGTTATTGTGACTCATCGTCTGCATATGACCTCTTGTTCTTGAAGTTCCAGGTGTCTCTAATTCTTCCCTATCAATTTTGTTGATTCCTGTTACTATTTTATACATAGTGATCATATTGCCTCTTTCTCTCTTTCTTCTATCTTCTAATTTTTGAATATTTAATGCCTCAAACCTCTCCTTATAGCTCTTGTCTTTCAGTTCCAGGAGCCATTTAGTTGAAGGAAATAATCAAGGAAACGGTAAAGGAAGCCAGAAACTGTAGCAATATAAAAAACAGACATTAAACTGGAAGTCAGAAAGGAACTGATATCAAACAAAACAGTTGTTTTGTTTGCACAAACAAAAACTGGTGCAAAACAGTTGCTTGAAGTAAGTCCCTAACAATTTTTGGTTGCAAAGAAAAGAAGATAACATCTAGGTCAGAAAGAGCCACAGAAAAAGCAAAAGTATTAGATAAAATTGTTGGGTTAGTGGAAGGTTTTACCACCAAAGATAATGTCTGTGACTATAGGAGAAGTAGCAGGTATGAAAAAGGGAACGATCAACCCTTGAGGTTCATCCTAAATGGTGCTAAACAGATTGAAGAAGTTTTCAAGAACATTAAGAAATGACAAAGTGATGAGGAAGAGAAATTATGGTCATTGAGACGAGATCTTTCAAAGGAAGACAGAGAAGCTTAAACTGTACCTCGTAGAAGCAAAAGTCTGAATGAAAGCAAGAACGAAGAAAAAATCAATTCTTTTTCCTAGCCTGTGAAATGGTACAAAAAGGCAAACTAACAAAATCACTTGAGAAAGGATAAGTAACAAACAAGAGGAGAGGGAAAATGTTCCTGAAAATTGTATACACTAACATAGATGGAGTGAGATAAAAACTACTAGAGCTAAATGATATAATACAGCTGCAGATGCCAGACATGTTTGCTTTCACAGAGACAAAACTTGAAGTTGATATTTTAAATGAGGTCGTATTCCCAAGAGGCTACTCAATTTGGAGATAGGATAGAAAAAATTGAAAAGTTACACACACATACTGGGTGTTTCCTTCACTTTTATTTTTATACAGTATTAATATAATACAAATAGATAAAATATTTTCTCCACTATTACTTGTATGAAAAGTTGAACATGATTACACATTATTGATATTGGAAATGCAGGTATACTAATTTTATAACTAAATATGACCAAAAACAACATATGTACATTTACCAAAAGATGCCTAAATCTTCGTATAATTACATGTATGTTTATAATTTGGATAGATATTTCCTATAGTATTATTGGTAATAAAAACAGACCATGATTACACATAATTTAAATTAGAAATACAAATTTTCATAGCAAAATATGACCAAAACCAAAAACTTACATTTACCCATACATACCCAAATCCTTGTACAATTACTTGAATGATTTACAGTAGATAAAATGTTTTCCTACAGTGTTATTGGGATGGAAAAATTGTACATGTTAAAATATACTGTACTTGCTCCTGATATGAAATATTTTGGTAAAATATTTTTCTTTTTTCACAGTACAAAGCTGGTTCAATTGAGGGTGTACAGTGGGAATCTTCACTGGAACAAAATGTATTCAACCCACTGAAAGAGTCCATCATTTTTACCATTATTGGCAATGAAGAACCTCCCAAATGTGTGTGTATTCCCAACATATATCCACACAACTGCACTTTGGAAATTGATAAGGTTGGTAAAAGATGATGAATGCACTACAGTCCTTGATGATGAAATATAAAGTGTTGTTGTTGACTGATATGTATCTACAGTAATATGATTTTACTTGATAATTTGACTTTGATGTACAGTACAATAACTTGTCTAATATCTCTCAATCATTAAATCATAAAGCCCAATTTCTGTGATGATCATGAAACTGATAATTAATAACCATCAAAAACATAACAAAATCTGTCATCTTATGAAGAAAACTTTATCCAGTAGAGGAGACACTATTGTCAGTGTGACCCACCCGAGGTGCCACTCAGGCACTCGTGCACACTTACATGTAGTATTTTTCATGTGCAGGCATGGAAGCTCTTCATTCTTTTGATTAATTTTGGAAAATACAAGATATCTCTTCAATACTATAGCTAAAAATATTGTTATGTACATTACAGTAATGTCTTTGAGAAGCAGGCAAAATAAAAGAAAGCATATACGGCTCTTGTAAAAAAGAGTCTTTAAAGTGCCAACATTGTATACAAAAGCAACCACTACTCTGTCCATTAACTGATCAGTGTTACTTATTTTTGTGGAGTAGATATTGCCTCTTCCTTAACCAATGCAAGCACTGCTACTTAAATATACAGTAGTAGCAATGAAATGTTATTAAATTCAAATTCAGTTAATAATATTTATAAATTTATACCATGTGTAATTACCTAAAGTGTAGTTACAGGATGAGAGTTACGCTCGTGCTGCCCCGTCTTTCCAGTGCTCCTTGTCATTTGAGGCTTTTCTTCTATTTTATTTTTGTCTATTTATAGTTAAATAGCTAGTAGAGCCTCTGTAAATACCAGTGATCATGCTTCTTTTGTTTGTAGTATGGATGTAGCTACTCTAAGAGCTGATTGAATTAAGGGAAAAGCCACCGAGGGCCAAGAAAGACCTAAATCAAATACAGAGCATCAGTCAGGTAAAATGAAACATCCCTTTCAGTTCAGAGCAATGTTTTGGTGACCCATTGTTTCCATTCTTTAATCCCCATTATACTTGAAATTAGAGTATGCAGTCCTCAGGATGAGATAGCCAACTTTGTAGAGCCTAGGCTTTAATTGGGCTGCCACATGGTGGCATCTACGTTCACTATTTTAACAGGGAATCTTGCAGATTTTTATGTTACTCATAGTCATTTGTAGTTAGTGTTGACTAGTTTGAAAGGTGTGTGTGTCATAGCTAGTGGTTGCATCAATGAGGTATGAGCTTCCCATGAGCTTCCTGCCTTGTTATTATTGAGACAGGACAATTTGTAAAGTTGCTTGTCTTTCTGGGGCTAAGTTATGCAGAAACTGACAGTTTTGCCTTTGCCTGGTTGGGCCCTCAGTATATGGTTAGGAAAACTACCAAGGAACTACTGTACTCAGAAAAGAACGTTTCATTTCATTTCAAATGTTTTGAGAACATACAATGTATACTGTAATTGTTTTTCTTCAGAGGAAGGGGATTGTGACTCAGCATTGTTCCAGCTCTGAAAAACATATAACAGAAATTAGGGATCAATCTGGATTTGATTCAGTGGACTTTCATCTTGAACCGAGGCACATTTATTTGACTTTCTTAAATGAAGTGATTGGGTGAGTATGTAGCACAATAGTGGCTCTCAGTTGCTAGCCGCTCTGGATACCTCAATGCCTATTGAGTCAAACCAGGCCCCCCCTCAAAGATGCATAGAGAGTAGGGGATATCTGATCATCCTTACAAGAAACAGTCAACAGAAAGGTAGAGAGAATCAAAATGGACAACTGTAAGGCAAATGTTGGGAAAACAAACTTGGGAAACAATCCATCCCAGTAGTTTGGTTGTTCACCCACTAGTAGCAACTGCCTACCACCAGGTGGCAGCTCCGGGAACCTACCAGCTCCATCCAGTAAGTTCCTCTTAGTTAATTGCCTGCTGTCAGCTATAGTTAACTGTTCTTAGAGCCACTCCTAAACCTTCATGTCCCAGATTTATTTTTCCAGATTAGTGTTGGTCATCCTTTGTTCTTTGCTGTATGGAAGCCCATTTGCTTGTGTACTGTATTGTTCAAATCTTTAGTACAGTATTTGCTTCATGAGCATGCCTCACTTGTTACATGGACTTGGAGAAACTTCACCCCAAACTGCATGAGTTTTGGGCAAACATCCTTAGGCGCTCACTGGTGTTTCCATCATCCTGTCTTTTGTCTTTGATACAATTCACTTTTGGGGCATACTCAGTGTAAAGGTGGATGGTCTCTCGCATTTCTTTCCCATTGCCATGGAGTGGATCACTGATGACATAACCCTCTGTTAGATTTGTGACACGTTTGGTTGCTTCTAGGTAGACCTCTTCAAGTCGACATGGAACTTGCAGTCTCCCTGTTATTTGGCTTTGTTCTCTGATCATGAGACTTTTGCACTGGATACCTTTTGGCTGGACTGGAGTCGGTGGGAGTTCCTCTATCTCCGGGCTCTTTCTAGGCTGGAAATCTTCTACAGCAAGAGTCTCCTCTTGGCTTCCTTGTGGACTGTCCAGCTATGATTTCCAGCCTTTTGGGCCTGTTGCTCGAACTCGGTTTTCTGCAGGTTTTCACTTCATACAGGACGCCGTTCAATCCCTGACCGTCCAAGTGGTTAGGCACCATTCCTTTTCCCACCCATCCCATCCCAAAATCCTTATCCTGACCCCTTCCAAGTGCTATATAGTCGTAATGGCTTGGCATTTTCCCCCTGATAGTTACCTCACTCCTTCAGCATACGGTTTTGATTTCTTCTTAGGTTCTTGATTGCCCCTACAGTTCAGGATCGTTTTTATTAGGATATGTTCTTGTTGGTCCTTGCTTTCGGCTGTAGGGTTGGGGAGCTAGTTTCATGCTTGCCTTCAGAAGCAGGGTTTCCATTTTTTTTTTCATCCTGGTGGTCATTCTCTTAGTGTGCAGCCTTGGTTTGTTCAGCCAGGGGTGCATCATTTGTTGTGTCCAGCTGCAAAAGTTTATCACCTCCTTGCCACTCATGGTGTGTGAGGTGATACTTTGTGAAGATCCAGTGTCCATGGTCCCTCAGGCCCATGATGTTCACAAGTTTACAGCTCTGTCCAGTATGTTCTTTAATGTGTCCTGAACCGAGTTGAGGCTCGGGGGGATTTTGTTGGTCCAAAGGTCCTGGTGACTTGTTACCTGGTCTGTGTTCTGGGATCATTCTGAGCTTGTGTGGCATTGGGTAGAGTTATCCTGGGGGATACAGGGCTTTTACTCTTCTCTGCTCCAGGTGAGTTCCTCTTTTTGTTTTGCTCTCAGTGGTGAGATAGCAACATGGAACCAATGTAGGAACCCTACCAGAAAACCAGCTTTGAATGTAATGAAACACCTCTTTCTGGTGGGTCTTCTGTGGCTTTTTGAACTCACTCTTTTCCTTTCAGGGGAGTTAGTTTTAGCCTTTCCTTCCTCAATGACTAATGGCTTCTCTAAGGTGAGCCAGTTGCTGGTGGTGCTGCCACTTAATGTTTTTTTTGGGGGGTCTCTTTTCTGTTTTATTTACCTTGCTGCTGTTAATTTTGTATCACTCTACCTTTCTGGAGGTCAATCTTGGTCTGAGGGATCTCGTATCCTCAGCTCTTTGCATCTCTGTAGATGAGGCCAGGTTTTAGCCTCAGGGTTAAGGTAGCTTGCAAAACCCTAGTGTAATTCAAATTGGGTGGAGCTATCCATGTTGCTAGCAACAGGAAGCCACCAAAGACCCAGAAAGAGATGTTTCATTATATTCAATGCTATTATCTTTAAGCAAGGTTTTTGTTTGGGACTATAACTTTCTTCTTATAAAGTTTAATACAGTACTGTACTTCATTTCAATACATCATCCTAATAATTCATTCTAGTACAGGCTTAACACTTTCATTGTAATATTTCATTGAAATAAATCATCCTAATACTTATACTGTACGTTATACTTAATGCTAATACAGTACTTCATTCTAAAGTCACTAATACTTTATTTGTATAGTTCATTTCAGCACTTTAAAGAAATCTCATGATCTTTATTAGTTCTCAAGTCACTATAATTAATCCTTTTAAATTCTAAACATCAAGTCGCAACACCTATTTATGTAATTTACATATTTCTCATAATAGTTCGTAGCCTGATATTTAACTACTGTATTTGTGTTCAGTTATACATTCAGTACTGTAATATGCTCTTTATTGATTTGTAAGATATGCTTCATGTGTTAAATTTACTTGTATTTTGGTGTATTAAATTAATCACTTGTTCCAACAGAAATGGTTTGGTTTATAAGCCACTGATTTTGCCGACGCCTTATGATATACCGGATGATTTGAAGGCAAAAGATGGCTCCTTTCCATCCCAGATAATAACACCAGGACTATTCCAAGGCTCTTATGGATCACATGGTCTTGAGATAATTCTCTTTAGATTTAAAGATGAATATGAAATACATGGACACAAGGTAAACATTTTCAAACCTCTTGTTTTCTCTGTCTCCCTTCTCATTCCTCCATCATTCTGTTCCTTTTCTTACTTCCATGTCTTCCTGTTCTTACCTTCCTTCCTCAAATCCCTTCCCTCCTTTTCTTCTCTTCCTCCTCCCATCCCCCTTCCTACAAAAAAATCAGTCTTATCCCGTCTCTGTCCATATCTCTATATGACTGATGTCTTATTCTTTCTTGACATAGCAGGTTCATTCAGAACCGTTCTCAGACAATTCAGTTGCTTCTACATTGAAGAAAACTTAAAATGTTCATTAAATATCAGTACTTAAATGGTTGTTATATAATTAATATTGCCTCATGCTTGGATTCAGAAAGAATTTATCATAAAAATGAGGATTGCTTCAGCAAACATTAGGTAGAACAGAAAAAATCATAGAGTGGGAATCATCATTAATTGTAATGACACTGTCGGTGTCGAGACAATAGGGTCACTAGTTTACACTGTAGTGGGAGAATAATCAAAGAAAACCCACCAGTGGGAGACTGAACCAATTTAACTCTTCACAGTAGTTTTGTTAATGACTAGCCGATGCCAACCAATTTACAGTATGTTTTGGAATAAAGTTGTGTAATTACTTAAAGTATTGTAAATGCATAGATTATATTCCCTGTAAAAAGTTGGAAGGTGGCTTTATTTTTACATTGTAACTATTTTAAACATGCAATACTAATATATACATTATCATCTTTTTTTTTTTTTTTTTTTTTTTTTTTTTTTTTTTTTTTTTTTTTAGGTAACAGGTGATGTCAATGTTCATGCAAACAAAATCTCTGTTAAAATTCTGTTAAAATACCCAGTAAGTCCTTCCAGAGAAGACCAAAGAAGTCTTTCTGTCCTGATGAGTATGGAGCCTACCATGAGTAATACTCCACTTTCTGCCATTACTGAACAACACTTCATTCTTCCAGATGACTGCCATCACAATACTATTACACCTATACCTACAGTGTGCAAAGCCAGGTGAGTTAAAGAATATATATTTTTGTTTTATCTAATTTGCTCTGTATATTTAAATGGTTTCGTCTTTCTAACAGTTTCAGGATAATTTGTCACCCCACTCTTCCCACACACACAAATATACAGTGGAACCTCAGTTAGCAAATGTCCCTCTTTAAAAAATATTTTGGGTTAGGAACTCGATTTCTTTGGAAAATTTGAATCGGATTACAAACTTTGCCTCGCCTTACGACTTTGTTGATACACATATGGGTCGACCGAGCGCATGGTTCCTGGTGGCACGGGCGACCGTGCTCCAGTTTATCAGTGTCTCCCACTTAGTGATGATTGCACTTGAATTCTTTGTAAAGAAATGTAATTTTTTTCTGCTTCTTTGGTTTTAACATAAAAGTAATTATTATATATCATGCCATGGGTCCCAAGAAAGTTAGTGGTAAGGTTCAACCTAAGAAAATAGTTGTGAATAGAGGCAGTAGAGGATATCCCTTCCTCATTAAGGAAATGTGTGAAGTATGGGAAGAACTGCAAAGTTTTGATGAAAACATTACCCAGATAAAACTGAGCAGGCCGTTGCATTAACCTTTTTAATGACAATGTGATGTCTCACTACAGGCTAGTGTTAATATGTAAGTAAAAACAAGTGTCTTTAGACAGATTCTTAACAAGCAGTGAGCCACAACCAGGTCCCCAGGTCCTATATTAGGCCTAGTTATTATTAAGTTTGTTTTTAAGCTTTATTTTTCCAGACTCTAAAAAAATAAAATTATAAAAAGTGGTTTACTGGTGGTCCATCACCACATATTGGTACTTTTGCCCAGATAGTTACTATATGTACTGTACTATCATTTCAGGTAGCTGGGGTGCTCAAGGAATATCCAAGTATAATGTCTAGAAATAACTTTCTCATGTTCATTCAGTGAGACTTTTTATTAACCCGCATCTTTCCCCCTTACACACTGCATTTGTAAATTAATACACATTTGTATTTGTAAATTATTTCAAATCATCAGCATAGTGTTCAGATGTAACTCATGATACATCCTCAGTTCTCAACTGGTCTCTATTGTAAAATATATTAAAATTAAGATTTCTGTAAGATTACATTAGAATAATAATAATAATAATAATAATACTATGGAGCTTTGCATAGTAGGTTTCAAATTGTGTTGCTTATGTTCATTCAGTATACTGTATATATTATCACTTAGAATAAGTACCAGAAATTACAATCGCAGCCCTGACATTTTAGGCCAGTTGTCGGAACTGGTCCCTCTAATTGGGTTTCATGCCTCGTGGATTACATTTTATTTTAAATAATAATGAGGTCATATCTCATTGTGACTTCTTTTTTAGCTCCTTTTATGAAGTTGTTTAGATTGTATTGCTTTGCTCTTGTAGAAAGCTAGGAAAATTTGAATACCTGTATATCAAAGTTTTTTTTATTTTTCAGGTTTCATGGATTTGGCCAGATTGCTTTTATATGGTTTCAGAGACCTAGTTTTACACCAGTTCAGGTAATTGTGTTTAACAATGATCTGCTTGGTGTCATTTGGTTAGAACTTAATTCTTTCAGTCTTTATTCACGAATAAAGAAAACGTTTACAACCAACATCCTTCAAGTTGATGAGAGTGCTGTATGATTTAAGGTAAAGACTAATAGTGTACTTAAAATTTTGTAACGATATGCATCATTTTCTCATTCCCTTCAGTAAAGGGCTGTGGGTTATTAAGCTGGGAGCCTATATTCCCATATTTTAAACATAGATGCTGTACAGTATATACACAATGTACCTTGTACACACTGAATGATGACAGGGTAGAAAATGTTGAATGTCCTTGTAAAACGAGACCTGTTAAAAGTATATATCATACATGAAAGAAATAGGAGGAATACTACATCTTAATCCGAAATGTAGATTGTAGTTTTGGGGGAAATTGAGTTGGTAACAAAAATTCCTTGGCAAGGTATGGAATGCAAGTCAGTTAATTGTAAGATTGAGTGAATTGAGATCTGTTGTATTGAATAATTGGATAATGATATAATGGGGAAGAGACTGAAATTGAGGATAGGAGGAGAACCAAAAGGATAATGAACTGACAGGATGATTGTGTAAGAAAGCAGAGATTAATTATAAAAACACACAAGAAGCAGTATGAAGTGGTGGAGTTACCTTGTGGATGTTTTGCTGGAGTGTGATTGTGCAGATTTTATGTCCTTGTTAGTGTGTAAGTTATAGTGAATGACCATGTCTTTTGGAGGATTGTAACATTCTTTCCTAGTATTACTGTTTTATTTTCCTTGACCTTATTGTCCCTATCTCTTCACCACTAACTCAAGAATAATAATTATTATACTTTCCCATCCCATAAAAGTAATAGTGTGGTAAACAAGTTCTGTAGTGCAATAAGCTTATAATGGCTTTATAACTTTCCAATTAGAAAACTGGTTGAAAACTTCACAAATGTATATTATACGCTGATCAAGTATGAGTTTTGGCATTACAGTTACACAAACTCTATTTTAATTTAAATTAATGTAGTACAATGTAGATCTCAAGATAAAAACATTTGATGTGTCTTTGAACTTGAGTACAGAATAGAAACTGCACACATTCTTAAACTTGAATCTTCTTTAATAAATATCTTTACCAAAGAAATTTAACATTTTACTTTGTGCTGTTTCAGAAGAACCAGGTTGTATGCTGTGTGTTTCTGGAAGGGTTCACTTGATAGCTTCCTGAGTTAAGTGCTGTTCCAGCCAAACCTTAAGGAGATGCACCAGGCATCTTGAGATCCACTCTTGCTTACTGGAAGCCAGGACCAGAACCTGGCTCTCTCTGAGGTGAAGGGAGGCTGGGGATCTGAAATCAACCCAAAACTGAGAAAAGATCCACCAGAAGCATAAATGAATAAGCCACTGTCAAGTACCCTTAGGTAACAAAGTAAAGAATTGTTGCAGCCATGTAAACACCCTAACTGGAGCATCAGACTGCAACAGGTGTCTTCCCAGGATCTGTTCCTGGCTCTTCCCAGGCTCTGTCCTGGTTCTTCCCAGACTCTGTCCTGGCTCTTCCCAGGCTCTGTCCTGGCTGACTTTAAGAATTCCTATCTTATTCCTATCTCCTTCTCATTCGGTGGTTATAATAGGAGCTGCCTCGTATGGGCCAATAGGCCCTCTGCAGCTCTTATTATTATTACTATCTCCTCTACTACACCTTACTTTGCTCCTCAGCTCTCTCTTGCCTATTTATTGTTTGTCTCTACTTCCTCATCACAATCGACTTGAGAATGGTCCAGGACGGACCAAAACGTCGTCGTCCCTTCACCTTCTAGTGTGTGGTTTGCCTTTGCATCCCAGATGTTGGTGGCTGTCTAGCTAGCCTGGTGAAGTGGTTGCCAGTTTCCAGGACTATGGACTCTGGGTTTAGGGTTCTTATGTTTGAGTCTCCTGCTGTTAATTTTCTGGTGTCCCCCTAAGCCTTTTGGTTTCAGACAACTGTTAATCTGTCCATGCTCCCTGCCCTAATTCCTCGCTGCTTAGCTGCTATTTTGGCTGGCTTGAGGCTTGTTGTAGATGGATCAAGTTGATGGATCTCTATGGCTCTGCCTGAATGTTCCTTGGCTTTGCCACTGGTATTGCATTTGTTTAGTATGCTAGGGGTACCTCTCTGCCATTGGCCCCACCTCTTTATTATTTTCCCACTGGTAAGCCCTGGCTACATTTTCCTGCTTACTGATTAGCTCTTTTAAAAAAATGCAGGCCTCTGCCAAGAGCCATTGTCAGTTAGCTCAGGGGCTACTGAAAGGGATCATCCAAGAAATCTAGCATTGAATGGAAAGAAATTATCTTTTTAGGTGGGGCACTTTGTAGCACCCTTTTCCTGCCCAGTTCCTTTCTTTGGTGTGGGGTAGTGGAGTTTTGTTTAGGCAGCTCATGAGTGGGGAACAGACTGATTGGGCCCCTGGATTGTCACTTGTGGCGGTTGAACGCATCCCGATAAGGGTGTTTACACTACAGCACAAATCATTTGCCTTGTTACCTGATGGTAATTGTTGCACTTATACTTTGTGTTAGGTTATTTTATCGATTTTGCATTGGTCTCTAATTCCCAAGCTTCTTGTACATGTAGAAAGAACCAGATTCTGGCCTTTGCTTCCAGTAACTGTGGGTCTCAAGAGACCCAGTGCATCTTCTTAAGGCATGGCTGCATCAGCACAAACCTCAAAGAGCTACAATGTGCCTTGCCAGAAAAAAACATTTTATTACGTTATGCTTGATAATTGTATTTTTTTTTTTTTTTTTTTTTTTTTTTAATTTAGCTGATGAAATAGTGAATTGGTCTGAGGGTTGTCACTTTTATCCACTAGGTGTTGAGTACATCAAAACTGATAACTTTATATATTAAATATTTATTTTCTCTGCCCTATTTAATTTCACCTTATCACAAGCAGGAAACTGTACACAATATTTAGATATTTTAGTCACCCATAATAATTGTAAGCATCTTAATTGGTTTCAGAAAGCTGGTCTTACAATAGACTTAGACTTGGAAAAAATACAATATGAACTGCCAAATAAAACTACAGGTTGTTGATTTAAATAATTTCCAATCAACATTTGATCAAAATTAGGTACAAGAACACTACAGGATTAGTGCTCTGGCTAAATAAGCTGGCTTAAATTGTTTGGTGCACACCAGTGTATTTAAACCTTTGGACTTAAAGTATGATTGTATTTGTGTGAGGGAGGGAGGGGAGAGGAAGAGCGCTAGCCAGCTGGCGCTCTTGCTCAACCAAGCGACTTCCTATGAATATCACCGTGTTATTCTTTCATCCATTTATACACTTAAGTCTTGTGCTCCTTACTCTCTTTGTCTTTCAAGATAATGTAAACAAGCAGTTTTAACCTCAAATGTTCAACATTAACAGTTGCCCTTCTCTGCAAACTTCACAGCCCCACTATGGGCTCACCATAACCTGTGCTACTTAGAACTTTTTGTTCTGAGTAGCTGAATCTAAAATGGTAATAATCTGCAAACTTTCTTGAGAACTTGTCCATTCTATAGTATGGTACCCAAAACTAAACTATATAATCCAATTAAGGTCTAATGAATGCAAGCTTGATAATATTAGCTACCTTATTACTAACACTTCTTGTATACTATTTACCTTATTTTGAACATTTATACATTTGACAATTTCAGTATTGCCTGGTCTGGTAACTATTATAATATCCCAGGCTGTAAAACTTGCATTTGTCAGCATTAAACTGTATATGCCCATCTTTCATATATTTTAAAGGCCTACTCATACCCTGAATGGGTGGACAACAAGTGAAGTGTACTGAAACTATAGAAGCCACCTCCATCCACAAATTTAAAGTCAAGTTTGACAAAGAATTTGAATATCAGAATAGTTAGAATTTAACACAACAGGTTATAATAAGTGGGGCATAAAATAGTTACACAGGGGAGGTTTACAGGTAAATCTCACTTCTATGTCATCTCTGATTCACATTCTTGGTGGCATAGTGGTAAAACACACCCCTTGCCTCATGAGTGATTTGGTCTGCATTCAAGTCCTAACTTAGTACCAATCAATGTTTGTTCACCTGTTCACCCAGCAGTAACTGGGTACCTAGGTTGTTAACCAATTGGCAGGTCGTGTTCCAGGAAAAACAAGTAGGGTAAGGCTTACCATGATAAATACTCTCACCCCTAGCACATTGATCATCATTAGTCCTACAAATAGTGCATATTACAATACTGGGTATCACTAATTTCATCACTTAGTAGCTTGTGGAAGTAAATTTACTTAAATTGAAATGAAAACTGTTTTCTCCGCCACAACGAAGCTAGTGCTACCTTGCACAATGAACGTCAACATATGCTCACCACTAGCATGAGTAGCCCCAACAACCTCCCCCCCTTCCCTCCCCAACCACTAGCATCACATTTTTCAGCAAAATCAGATATAGATCAAATTTGCTCCAATTTGCTTCAAATTGCAAGTTCCATCAGCCACCACACCCTCACTTGCTCCTCAATCCAGCTTTCCTTGTATTAGAGATTAGCTTATTTCATATTCTGATGGATAATATTCAAGTTAACTACTTGTAATATATTTTACTTCATCACATAAGATATTTGAATTGTGCCAAAGGTCCATAGCATTGTCACATTCACTGGGTGGAAGGTACTGCACTAGACATTGTGTGTGTGTGTGTTTTTACCAAGGCTTGATGGTGCTACATAGCCTTCCCGGTTTGGTGCCTTCTATTGATAATTACTTACTTTTACCAAGGCTTTCAGGATTTTCATCCAATATGGCAAACAATCACCAGTTCTTAGTGGTGAATGACATTCCCTTGGAATCAGTAGGGCACTTAGATAATACAGGGTGATGAAAATTGTCCCAAGGCAATAAGAGCCATACACCCAACTGCTGCTGAGAAACTGGTGCAATGTAAGGGTGAAGTAGTGTGTACACAGTATGGCAGTTCTGCAATGTATGTATGCTTAGCATAATTAACTTATAACCTCCATACCCACTACACTGAACTACTGATGGTCAAAAGGTAAGGCTTAAGAGTAGATGCTCAACCTTACAAGTTACATCGAGGCAAGTACTTTGGCCAAAATTTTATTTTTCCATAAACAGCTATTGAATTATACAAAAAATACTATAATTTGCAGTTCAGACATTAAGTAAACTTGTATGGCAATATTGTAAATATCTTCTGTTCTTAATATTTCTGGTGGGCATCTTAGATCTTGTTCCTTTTTTACTACTACAGTACAAGTATTGCAGACTCACTTTTGTAATAAGCTAAAGTTTGTTTGCACCTTTGATGTGCAATGTAGAAATAGGATATAAGCTTGCAAGGAAAAGCTGCTCAGGAGAAACTAAATGCTTGTTTTGGAGCTTGGTATATAATTGTGTATATAACATTGAAATGTGTACTATAAGATATTATGTATGTAAATCAGAACTCAAAAAAAAATGGAATTGACATAAACATGGTGGAGTACAGATTCATCCTATAAGGATGGTAGCATTTAAACTTATATTTATTTGTAGTGTGCCTAATACCAATTATGATAACTATCATTAGATACACAGATATTCTCTTTATTGCCTGGCCACACTTTAAATATCAAAGAGCTACCAGATGATTATCCCTGTATAACGTAAGACTAGGACCTAAATTTCATCCATTGATTATGCCTGTAATAAAAGTTTTCTTTTATGTTTGTGCATGTTAGACGTCCCTTTTGAAATACAGTACTTGTGTGATTGTACAACATTGATAAAGGCTTTTTTTATTAAGATATGTGAAAGTTAGCAAACTAAAGCAAGAGAATCTATTCAGTATTTAAAATGTCACACTTCAGATAATAATAAAACTCCAAAGAAAGGTAATTTTCTGTTGCCAAGAAAATATATTGGATAATAGATCTTGGCATACAAGAAATCTAATGTAAGCTCACTTTACTATCACTGCATATAGTTTTCCTGTAATAGTGAAGCACATTTATTACACTAACTTTTTTAACCAGCCAAAAGAAAAAGAAAAAAATATCATGTGTGTAAGCAGTAATATTTTTAGTGCCTTGGATAAATTTACATGTAGTTTGACTTCATTCTTTGAAGTTGAGCGCACAAGTTACGAAGCTTAGCCAGGATTTAATTCTTTATAATGTTAATAGCTTAATCAAGCTGCCATTTTTTTCTTGGGCTTAATAAGGTGGTGATAATTTGGCAGAATTTTGGTCAAGAAATCAAGCTGGAGTCCTTGTGGCTGAAAGGAGAGAGAAAGCAATGGTAAAACAACTACAGATACAGGTATAATAATATTAAGTAATGGATCCTAATAATTTGCTATATAAAGAACTAAAAATTTTGATTCCTCTTAAAATTTCCAAGTAACATGTATAGCATTGAAAAAAAAAATAAAAAAACTCACTGCTGGTTTTTCAGTCTGAGTTCTATGATGGAGTTCATCTCCATAAATTACTGTATTTTCTTGAATAACTTGTGGGCATGCTAAAGAGCATAAGGAACCCACAACACATCCACGAGTCAGTTCTACACCTGGACCCACGCGACCTGCAAAATTTTAGATAGTGTATATTATTGCTATTAAATTTTACCAATGAATTTAACTCTTCTTACTTTGAGTCCTGTTCCTAACAATCATCTCCAAACATTTGTCTCTCAAAACAAAATAAATTGGTTTGTATATTCAAACTCATTTTCTATAAATTCAGCAAGTTGCCCATCCCCCCCCCCCTCCCCTCCTGAAAAAACCTCGCTAGACTAGTACTATCTATAATTTACATCACGATCATCATTACCTCATTTCTCAGTTACAAGCGTCAACCCACCATTTTGACTTTCTATTTGGGCTGCCCCAGCTATTAATCTTCAGACCACCTTGCTTCTCGCTTGTGTTTTAGGCCAGCGAACCAAGTTTTACTTTTCCACTTATGTTCTTAGCAGGATTTTTAATATTTTGACAAGATAACTATCATATCAGCTTAAAACACAGGAAATGTGTCAGTGACGATTCTACTAGCAGGAAGCATTCTAAGATCAAAGTTGAGAATGGCATTCCTAAAAGTATTGTATGAACTGAATACAAAATGAGCAGAACTTTTTGTTTTGTTTTCTGTTTAGGCTAAACAATATACCTGTATAATGTTCAAAATTAAATTGATAAAACAATACAGCAGAGAAAAGAAGCCATTCAAGGCACAGATCATTAAAGATGGCAAGGGGTGGGAGTGGTACAGGCAGAGGTGGGCTGGTAAAATGAAGAATGGTGGCTCAGACACTTTACATGCTTAATGTCTTGGTACCTCTTTAAGTATGCAGGAAGATGGGGAGTCAGCTGATGGAAGGTTGGCATCTCAGCCTAACTATTCCTGTAGAAGGATTAAATTTACCAAAATCAACTGCAACAACCAATTAGCCCAAACAATAGCTAATACTATTCCAAAATTGTATGTGGAGCAACATCTTGGCTCTTGGAAAGTATTACTATATTGTTTTACCAGATGTGCAATGAAACTTTTTTCTAGATTTTTTTAGAAAAATAATAATGCTTTTCAAGGGCAGGATGAAACACCAAATCCAAATTCAATACTATCCTTTACCCACTGGGCCTTGCAGAACTGAGAGAGCACAATTGCAAGAGCATGAAGCACAGGCAGGCTTGCAGAAAGCACTCAAGAGAAAGAGCAAGGCCTGCCTTTGGCAGTCTAGAACCTCAAACCCTGTATAGCAAGGCATGGATGGACAAGAAAGCCACAGCCCACAGGGTTGCCTAGAAAACATCAGGGTCACAAAGAGAAGTGTGGAGGCCCACAGCCGCTGTAAAAAAAATTAGCGGCTAACAGCCATCACCATACACAGGTTCACAATAGCCCCAACAATACACAAACACCACCAAAAGGGTGCAGACCAACAACCACTACCACAGTAGCAGAAGCCTGAGGCAGCTCACTAGCGAGGTTGGGCCTGTATCAACGGAAAATAATGAAGGGAGCTGCAAACTGCAGTCAGAAATGAAATAAGACAGGAAATCATATACCAGATAGAAATCATATAGAAATCATATAATCATTTGGCAGTCTTCGTGGTGTAGTGGTAAGACACTCGCCTGGCGATCCGCGAGCGCTATGTCATGGGTTCGTATCCTGGCCGGGGAGGATTTACTGGGCGCAATTCCTTAACTGTAGCCTCTGTTTAACGCAACAGTAAAATGTGTACTTGGATGAAAAAACGATTCTTCGCGGCAGGGGATCGTATTCCAGGGACCATAGGATTAAGGACTTGCCCGAAACGCTACGCGTACTAGTGGCTGTACAAGAATGTAACAACTCTTGTATATATCTCAAAAAAAAAAAAAAAAAAAAAAAATATACAGTATTCAGTATATTAGTATGAATAAATACATTGTTTGCATATACCTGTATTTATTTCACATCTGTATACACACATTTTCAAAGTTATATGTAACAAACACCGTTGACACCTCAATACAACTTGTTAGAATGAAAAAACTAAATAAAGTAAGAAGCAATAAAAGTAAACTGACAGTTATTCCTGTGCGGCACCTCGCCTCATTTCTACCAAAATAATTTTTATAGCAACATCTCTGAGCTACTACTGTACAGCTAAATCACAAGAGGTAGAGAGCATTTACTTGGATTTTTGTGCTTCCTGGATGCTAATTACCAATGTCAATAGAAAAAATATTTTTTTCTGAATAATTTTTGGGTGTGCACCACAAGAGGGTCACATTTATCATGTGCTGTGCAGGGGTTAAGCAACCCAAGCATACCTTCTGCAAAAGTAAAAAAGCTAAAACTCACATAAGGAGCAGAGCCAGGCACAATTGCATCAACAGGCCTCACAGTGGACAGCAAGTTTCATTCACTATCCAGAAGTAAAGGGAATCAAGAGGAATCAGCCCATAGAGGAGGAACCCAAACCCCTCATAAGTCAACTACCAAGGAATGTAATCCTGGCTAACAGTTGGGGTGAAATGCAAAGCTCAAGTAATGTAGGCAGCATAAAACACAATTGTAAAGAATAATGCAATGATTCCCGGTGGAACAAACATTCCAGGCAAAAAGTGGCACTGACAAATATGCCAGTGCCACTTTGCTCAAAGTGTGAAGCAGAGGACGTGCTCTATCAGAGGTGTGTTTCCACTGCAGTGGCCAGGGTATCAGAATCCTGGTGCAATTCCTAATGCAGATAATAAGTTGCAATAATGTGGCAAAAAATTTGACACCTAACCCCACAAATCTGAAAATAAATGAATTGACAACATTTCGGTTCATACTGGACCATTATCAAGTCGGGACCATTTACATGACTTGATAATGATCCAGGACAGGCTGAAATATCAATTTCTATATTTTCAGATTTGTGGGTGCAACTTCTAACTTGGCAGTACCAGTGTCTAATCTCAGGGAAGATACAGAGGGCCTCCCAGAAAATTATTGATTTCAGAAAAATTGTGTAAATAAAATATGTATAGTACAGAACTGAATTTAAAATTTATAATCATTAATTTCCTTGGATATGATAAAATATTCAAATAAGCAACACATGATACTTTTTCATTTAACTTTCTTTTAATAGTAAGTACCAATCATTTTAACATCTTTTTTGTCGTGTATTTTGAATGTAGTAAAATGACAATATTATATAGTAAAAAGAAATATATATTAATACATGGATGTGATAGTTTAAGATAATAACATATAGAGAGGCAACACTTTACTGTAATGCATCCTTTAAAATTGACCACTTACAAATCCACTTGTCCAGAAATTCACATATGGAAGTCTCCTATGCAGCTATTACTGTGCACATATGACATTTCAAGGTTTGGTCTTTTACAATTCAAATATAATATGTTATGCAACTTTTCAAAACTTATTGATAAATTAAAATACTGTACAGTGTACACAAAGTAGCTACAACCAACAAAATACAAACTGTAACTTACTCTTTGCTTCAAGCACATTGTTATCACCCACTTTTGAAGCCTGACAGTAACTATCCACTTCAAAGACATTATTGTTTCCAATAACCATTACTGCCGGTTGATCACCAGCCTCTGTGCCTGCAGGTAATCTGCAATATACACACCATTTTGAGTAAAGAAATGGTAAGCATATTTATCTATTCTGCAGTGACAAGCAAATATTTATACCGCATCATGTACTGTATTGAATTACTAGATATGTAGCAAGGTATCAGTGCAGTAAATTTATGAAGAAAGCTCTGAACTCCTCATTATTCACTGAGCTTGGGCTGTGCTATAAATTTCACAAAAAGAGCTTGTTTGAAACATTTCTTCTGGTTGTATTTGTAGCTCTGAAGTACATACAACACACATTGTTATTGAAGTGAGGATAAAAAGGAGCAAAGTCTATGGATCTCTCACAAGCCAAGAGAAAACAGGAGTGTGCACTAAGTTTATATAAAATTTGGATCTTTAAATGAAAACTACACTTAAAAAAAATACATACTGTATATTGTATGTGAAATACTGTATATGTGGGGTCAGCTATATTTTACATCTTACCTATTGATAATCTGGGCTTGTTCCTCAATCAGGTTCCCTTCTCCAATGATGATGGGTCCAGACTCTGCAATGATGCGGGCTTTTGGATGGATGACTGTACGTGCCCCAATCGTAATGTCTCCATAATAGTCTGCCTCAAAGCACACCACAGCTCCGGGTGTTACTTTAACACTTTAAAATATCATAACAAAATAATTAAAATATCTTAGGAAATTTGACAGAATGAACATACAGTTTGTATAGAGTACTGGACTTCACTGTGATATGGCTATTAAAGTAATTTTTGAAGGTTCCCAGTATATAGTTACAGTACAGTAATTTTAGAATGCAGGCTTTGCGTGTATTATTGTATTGTAAAACAATTTGCATATCCCCAAATAAGGACAAAAACAAAAAAATCATTGATGTTTTAGAATGTATGGTCCCATTTATTGGCAGAGCACATCCCTTGGCATTCTGAACCAGTTGGCATGCATCCTCAGATCCTCATGCATCCTCAGCTCAGACAATGAACCAACACCCTGACTTCCTGATGAGCCCCTGCTGTATCAAGAGGTTACACATCTCACTCCCAGAAAGGACCAAGACTTGCTACCTAATACTGTATTTCAGATACAAGAGGTTTTGAACCCCCTCCAGACAACTACAGCTTCAAGATGAGTTGTTATACTCACTGTTACTAGTAAGTTATTATTAACAGCTGCTCACGGTTTGTTAATCAAGTTGTGGTTAGTTAAGGTTTAGGGTGGTCACATTTAATTATTTATATACAAGAAGGTACATTGGGGGTTAACAGAGAACATAGAAATTAAGTTGAATTTACATTCTTGTAAAGCCACTAGCACACAGCGTTTCGGGCAAGTTAGGTTAGGTACAGTTAGTAATTTAGACAGTTGTTTCTGTAGGTTAGTACAATTCCAATATTCAGGATGTTTTAAAGATAAATCAAATATATTATAATATTGACAAGCTTCAGTTAGTTCTGAAGATTTTCTATATGAACCACCTGCTCTAGTGTGACCAGTCGCCACCAAGAATGGGGCGACTTGTCCAGAAATTTGAACCAACATTATGCTGTCAATTATTCAGTTACGTGAATCTATATAAAATTGTTGGATATACCAACCTAATATAGATTTTTTTATATATACTGTGCGTAATAACCTGGCAGTGTGGACCAACAGCTGTAATAAGCAGTCTGTGTCCGCCCTGGGTGGGCGGGGTCGCACGGGGAACAATTTGTATCCAGAGTCCGACAGCTATAATAAATTAACACCTTATTACTGAAGCTACATATTATCACCTTTCAATATCTCTATATGTCTATAACCGTTGTTCTGCGAAATATAAATATAAATCATTAATTACTTGCAGACAGTGGGATCCAGCTGTTTGTTGGCTGACATTGTTTATCGTTATATATCCGGGTTATATAAAGGTATAATTATTGCGTGATATTTACTAGATATTAATACCAATATTTAATAATAAGCAAAAAGGTTTTATACAAAATTAATACGTATCGGTACCAAGTTAGAAAAAAACATGTATTTAAAACTGTTGTAATTGTTGTCGATTACATAACGATACGTAACGCGGCAGATTCGAACTTTGTAATTACAAGAGTTGTTACAATAGTGCTTACGTATATCTATTTTTTTACTTGGACTGACTTGAGGACCATTTCTATCTAGTGATCAATTAGAAAAAATACATGGGAGTAGATATAATCTCAACATTAACACCAGAAGCTCATGTGAACAAGATAACATCAGAAGCATATGTGAAGTTAGCAAGCAAAATAATGTCATTTAAGAGTCTAAACAAGGAAGTCTATGTGAGACCTTTGCTTGAGTATGCAACACCAGTATGGATCCCTCACCTTGTAAAGCATAAACAGAAACATGAGAAAGTTCAGAGATTTGCAGCTTGATTAGTACCAGAACTGAGAGGCCTAAGCTCTAAGGACAGGTTGAAAGAACTCTCCCTCACAACCCTTGACGGGAGAAGAAAGATGAGATATGATAACTACGTATAAACAAATCCACAAGGGCCGTGACGAGGATTCTAGAGTTGTTATACATTGTTATAGTTATACAGTTGATTCTAGAGTTGAATCGAAGAATCCTCGTCACGGCCCTTGTGGATTTGTTCATTTGATGCATCACGCAATTGTGATTTCTGTGTGTAACTACGTATAACATCTTGCGGGAATAGACAAAGTACATAAATAAAGCCTACTTATTTAAAAAAAAGAGTTAGAACAAAGGGACATCAGTGGAAGTTAAACATGCATGCAGTTGAATCGAAGAAATGTAAGAAAGGTCTCATTCCCTGTACGGGTAGACGGCAAGTGGAATACACTGAAGAGGCTGTTGAAGCCAATTTTATCCACACCTTAATAAAAATTGATGAAAACGTTAATGTTGTGAGAGGAAATTAGCGCGTCAGGTATAAACAGCTATGCGAGGTTGTATATGGTTGGAGCTTCAGTAGATCTCAGTCCCCCGTAATCACTGATAGGTAAGCTCGTGGCCGGGCGTGGCGTGTATAGGTAATGATCCATTGTCTTACAAAAAACGTCGCATTTCGCTCGTATGCGTCACTAAGGTCAAAAATTGCCATACTAGAAAATGGAAGCGGCTCGCGAAATTGACGTACAGTCCGATTTTCTGTTGTGGGTCCTCTGGTATGTTAGGGTAGGGCATTTTAATTTGACCGTTTTCTTGACGTTGGGAAACCATAGGAGGACGGGCTAATGATGCAGCCCGTTCTTACGAGCGTTCCCAACGTCAATAAGCTGTCGTACTAAAGTGTCCTTATCCTAACCTACCAGAGGACCCACGAACAGAAAACAAGTCATTACGTCAATTTCGCGAGCCGCTACCATATACGCGCTGGCCTCTCCATCAGTGGATAGGTTACCTACGTACCGTACGGTCTGACCGGTAATTACTTGAATGAGCGCGCGCCGACATCCTCGTCCTTGGCTTGGGAAACCTCGATAAGTCTAACATATGCTTCCTGTACGCAATAGTAATCGACGTACATACTAAAGTGATTCTCTTCCTATTAAAAGCGTTGCATTCATTGCTATGTCTATAGCAAAATACAGAACTCTTTATCTTACTCAAAAGAACAAATGTCTAGCTTTCAAAATCGACAACGAAAACACTGAAACCTATGGGCAGCACAAATACCTTGGAGATAGTATCAACAGTGACATTGTAAGACATTGTAAGCCTGTAAGAATAGTGATACTGCCCAAAACGCTATGCGTACTAGTGGCTTTACAAGAATGTAAACGCACCATGCTATGTACTCTCATAAACCCAATGTACCTTCTTGTATATAAATAAATAAATAAATAAACCTACATCTTGCGGTAAAAGAAGACAAACTTTTGAAATCACTTACTGTAAGAATATTGGCATTAATCTTAAATATCCAAACTATTTTACCTGATTATTTTTAGGATATTTCTCTTATTTTTAGGGTATATGTATATGTACTTTATACATATATATATATATATATATATATATATATATATATATATATATATATATATATATATATATATATATATATATATATATATATATATATATATATATATATATATATATATATATATATATATATATATATAATGTGACAATGTCAGACCACGGAGGAAAAATGAAATATAGGAAATTTCCTTAAGTACTTTCGTATATTAAATACATCTTCAGAAGGTCAAGATGTGATATACATCTTGATATACACATATATATAATGTATATATATATATAATGTATATATATAATATTAAAGTATATATATATATATATATATATATATATATATATATATATATATATATATATATATATATATATATATATATATATATATATATATATATATATAATCATGAATGAGTACTAGTGGAGAACTTTCGTTTTCATACAGGGAATTACTTGCAAGTCTTGCATTATAATCCGATACGGCAATTTATTCTTTTCATTGAGGATAATAACTTGTAAGTGCCTTGGTGCAATGTATGATTATCATTACATTGATAACTTTATTTCAGTTATGCATGCCATTTACACGTTTCAGGTGAATCGGAATAATTGTTTTCGGAAATGTATTTAATTCTTTGACTTCTGGAGCATGTGATGCGTACAGAGTTCTGCGGCGTGGATCCACTCGAGGAGCACGAGCCTCTGAGAGAAGTATGTATGTAGGCGGAGTTCTTGAAGAGAAAGATAGAGTTTGCAAGGCTTCGTGTTAGTCTTATTACGACGTGTGTTAAACTGGCGAAACGCCTGAAGCCCCGGGAAGCTAAGAGCAGCAGAGTTAGTAAGTCATAGTTAATAAATAAGAGAGACCCGGCAGGCAGGCGAAGTAGCGGCAACTATAGCCACCTCCCATCGCCTCCGGCGGACTTCACCTGGATGTGTAGAAAGCGGCAAGACGCTGTACTAGAATCTACCCTGTATGAATATGTTATTTCATATTAGATACTAAGGTTTATATTAATTTTAAATTATGTTTTCCCAACATATAGTAAAAACTTTCGTAGATCAATCTGCATGTTATTACAGTGAGCTAGATATGTAGAGGCTATATATATATAGGGGTGTGCGCCTGGCTGACGGAGCTTCATGGTACAGTGACAAACATCCAGTCAGGAATCCGGAAGCGAGATAGCGCCTCAGGTTGGAATGTGTGCGAGATGAATGGGGCGCCGCCGTCGGTGAGACGGAGGCCGCCTGGCAGCACCGTGCCACACTCACGGGAACCGTTCCCAAGATTGTCTGTTGTGGGATATGACGCGCTTCCCTCATCAAGGTCGCCGAGGTCAGCACACTGAGAAACACGAGCACGCATCACTAAGTCCATTTAAAAACCTTAAGGAAGGTCACCTGGGCTTAGCGAGCAGAGCTTTCTACTTCACTATTAAGGATATCTCATTTTTTGCTTAGCCTGTCGGTCTCGGCATGTATAATTCGAGGATGTTGAACGAGTTTATAGGTAATTTCTGCCTAGGAAAGAACTGTTAACCCATCCATAAGTGGCGCGCTAGAAGGTCAGGGTCACATGGATTGTGTGACTCATAAGGGAAGGTCGCGGGAGGACCAAGGTCAGTGGGAACACCGTATGACAAATAAACAAATACCAACACTCTTTTATGAATAAAATTTAAACTAAGAAATAGGTCCTTGTGCAAAACAACAAGGTTGTTGTGAAAAAGAACAACAATTTCTGTTTTGCACCTGACAGAAATCTCCATCTGACTGAATAATTTACTCGAATAAGAGGGCAAAGCAGTGTATCATTATTTGTATCATTGCAACCCCCAATAATAACGTCATAAGTTAGGTAGCCAACCCATTTTTATATAACATTTGTTATATCCTGCAATATTTAATTACCACTTTATTAACACTTTAAATACTTAACATTTCACTTTTTTGGTTAAATTAAAGTTAAAGCAGAATTCCATAAGCAGGACTAGTAGGCTGAACTAAGATGATTTACTAAGTGGATGACACCTATAGCACCCTTCCTGTGATTGGCTGTTGTGTGAATGTCAACAAAGAGTTTCTACCAATGATACGCCACCATTTTATTTATTATGCACCCCATACCCCATCTTGTGGGCGGAGCTTGGAACCTCCTACCCGAGCACAACAACCCACCTTATGGGTTGCTGTTTGGCTATTCATAGTGCGTTGGAAAAGCAACATATGGCGTTAGTTGTATTTTGTAGGGTAATTTGCTGTAAGTGTAATTTGATGTCAACAGATGGCGTAAGCTGTATCTTATGGCTATTGTTGACCAGCCAGTTGATAGTGTTCTTATCTACCGACAGATGGCATCAGCTGTATTATTATTATTGTAATAATATTATTACATTAATAATAATGTATTATTATTACTTTAAACACTGATCTATACGTCTGGTAGCTAATAAGGTTTTATACCATGCTGGTATTAAGTAACTAGTATTCTGCAATTACTTTTTTTTATCTACTGTTGAGGATATGTAAGACAAATGTAAGGTTTTGAGGCTAAGTAACGAATAGAGTTACAAGATACGAGCCAGATGGTGTTGAGATTGCAAAAAGGATTATGATAAGAACTTAAGCTAAAAATCAATGCATAAATGTTCGCAAATATGAGACTGGGATTTATTTCTCGAAAAGTTAGCAATAAAATACGCTTTCTAGTTCTTTATTTTTAAAATTAAGACCAGGGATTCTGTCTAACGAAGCTGCAAGCTAAAACACCGTTATCCTATAATGTTCATCATTAGCTTGACCCTAAATACTCGTTTATTAAACGAATTTATTGTTAAGAGTTCATTAGGAATCAACTTTGTCGAAGATTGATTGATTGATGAAGATTAAGCCACCCAAAAGGTGGCACGGGCATGAATAGCCCGTAAGTGGTGGCCCTTTAATTGGAGCCATTACCAGTATCAAGAGCTGATACTGGAGATCTGTGGATGTACAACTGCACCCTGCC